AGTGAATGAGAGGAGGAGCAAATATCTGATGGAGTGCTTCAAGTGTCTCAACAGATCTCTTATTTTTCCTCGATCTTTGATGCAAAGTAATCATTACTGTGAGCTCTCCTCACTTGTGATCTCCTGAGATCACACGTCAATCAAACAGTGATGCCCAAGAGTAGCCTGTATCTTACCCCAAGAGAGCTCTTAAGATTCCTCTATTGAAAGGGGGGAAAAAAAAACCTGGGATTTTCTTTGATTTGAAACATATGACAGCAGATTCTCAGCATCAGATTTATCAATATTTGTGAATCCCTGATGAGAAGGACGGAGAAGAGCGGGGGGTAGGAGGAGATGATGAGAGAGGCAGAGAGATGAGAGACAGAGCAAGTTTAAGATAAGAGAAGAAGAGGGACTGATGGACTGATGGCATGGGGAAAAAATGAGTGCAGAGATGAGAAGTAAGAGGAACGAGGGGGGTTTGAGGTTTGCTCGAAGTAAGGAAGGAAGGAAGGAAGGAAGAAGGGGGAAGAAGGGAAGGAAGGAGAGGGTAGAAAAAATGTGCCGTGTGGTAGGCACAGCTGTGTATGTGTGTGTTTGTGCGTGTGTGTGTGTGCATGTGTGTGTGTGTGTGTGTTTTGAGGTGTGTGTGTTCAGCTGTAGTGATCTTGGTGAGTTGGAGAGGAACGGAGGGAGGAGGAGGAGGAGGGGGAGCGCAGGCAATTTTCCACGAGACTTTAAAAGCTCTTTTAATGAGGAATCTTCCACTTCATGTGTCTGTGCTGCAGTTTCAAAAACACCTCGAAAAAAGCTGCAGTCGACCCTCTGAGAGGGAACTCGGAGAGAGAGAGGGAGAGAGAGAGAGAGAGAGAGAGAGAGAGAGAGAGAGAGGGAGAGAGAGGTTAGGAAGTGTTTCCTGAGGAGAACAATTAAAAGCCAAATATAATCTCTCTCTCGCCTATGGACTGCTTTTAATGTGATTTTTGGGCCGCTGATGACGCAGAGAGGAGACCTGCACCCAGGAGAAAACCTCTCCCTCTCTCCAGCCCTGATACTCGCAGACAGAGACAAACAGAAAACTGACACATGAAGACCAGAGGAAGACAAGAACGGTACAAGCCTCCCTGTCTTCGAACAACAAATGCAGTATTTTCAATATTTCGGGTGACTTTTATTTCGTTAATTTATTAGTTATCGGTTGCGCCCAAGAAATCGTCCGCTTCGGTTTTTGTTCCCATTTAAACATATATGGTGTTGACGATTGAGCTAGGGATAAAGCCAGGCTAGCTGTTTCCGACCTTCATGCTAAGCTAAGCTAACTGGCTGCTGGCTGTAGCTTCATATTAAAGCATATAGAGTGGTATCAGTCTTTGTCATCAGAAACTGAATGATCGTATTTCCCAAAACTATTCCTTCAACCGGTTTTGCTCATGACAGGGAATTGTTTTTTACAGTATTTAGCTTGTTATCTCAAAGGGGCCCTACACTGATTTTACATGTGAAGTTAAGTTTTACTTTTCATGGGGAAAAACAAGAAGAAGAAAAAAAGCTGTAACAGTCTTATCTAGTTTTCTAAAAGTGGGTATATCTGGGGCAACTGCAGGTTGTGCCCGGACAGGTAAAACCCACAGAGAGATTTGCACCTGTAGGGAAAATGTTCCCTGACCCCGGTGAAACCAAAACCCGTGGTGCATTTGTGTCCGTCGGGAAAAGAGGCTCTGTGGCAAAAAAAAAAAAAACAGTTTTCATTTCGAGAAGAAAGTGTCTTATCTGATTTTACACAATCTTAATACGTCTTATTTAAATGATGTTTATTTATTCACATTTGTTTTTACAGTTTTAAATGCAATTCTAATGTCGTCTCAGTGTTTTATCCATAATGTATTTATGCCTCTGTGAAGCACTTTGAATTGGTTTGCGTCTCAATGGTGCGATATAAATAAACGTATATTGCCTAATGTTGGAGAAGATTAACCCTGATGATGTCATGGTGATGTCATCAGGGTTATGCGTTTGGTCATGGAGAGACAGAAAGAGGGTGTGGTGTTTGAGAGAATATTTGCCAGGTATAATAGTAATCTAATAGTTAAAGACTGGCAATGGATCTACTGAAGAATTATGGGAATTGTAGGATCCAGCAAGTTTGGAGCTTGACCTTTACTAGGGTCTAAAAAGCAGCATAAATGTTCTCCATTCTTAGATTAATTTGACCTTTTTTACCCTCCTACCTCACCCTGACAGCTGAGGACGCAGTCAGGCTCTGTCTCACTGTCCTGCTATCCTCCAAATCTATAGGTTTCCTTTGGGTGCTGCTGGCCTTTGCTAAAACCACATCTCAGATAAAATGTCGTGATTTTCATACTGCTGAGGTGGCAGTGTTGCTATTTGGTATTCATCTTCATGAGATTTGCAGATAGAGAGATGACAGTTTCTTACACGGTAGCTCCAGTAACATCTTGTAAAACTAAATTTCCTCCGAACTGGAGAAGACGGAGTCGAGCGATCTGTGCGGGATCATCCTGTTTGTTTCCTCCTTGTGCTCACACACATATAATCTGCAGTTATTTTAAAGAGATTTACCCTTACAACAAACTTTAAACTACATAAATATTGTGTAGTTTTCAGTAACAGTTCATGTTAATGTTCTGTCGCATTTGAATATTGGTGGTTTTGAAGCCAAACTATCACATTTAGTCAAGAACATTTTAAAAATCCAGATAGAAACGTTTGGAAAGAAGGTGGCTAAAAGGAACCAGCGTCACATTTTTATGATTAAAAGACGTGAGAAAATTTAACCAGCTCAATTTTTGGCTGTAATTTCCTTGTTTTTCCTTATTTCTAGACACATTAACACAAACCTCTTGATGCTGCTTTGTTGAAGCTACCAAACAAACTAGCCGCCACTGCAAGCCTTTTCTCCGCTCCACGTCTTCTGTGCCGTCTAGTCTTTGCCTGCATTTGTACACACACGGAGCAGGTTAGGTTTTTCTCACTTCTGAATCGTATCTCAAATTTCCCTTTGGGGTACATTTTAGAAAAAGATTATTGTTGTATAAATGTGGTAAAACGCCTCTGGCAGGGCTGAGTACAGACCTACGAGATACACTGACAAGGCTTTTGCCACGGGTGTCCTCAGGGTGGAGCTGTGTGTCGTACAGAGCTTCAGTGAGCTTTAAATACTGTGCAGGTTAAATGAGAAAAACACTAATTGTAGTCTATTATTAATGTTAGCCAATAGCCAGTTTAGTGTTTAATATCTGTCAGCTTTTTGATATTCAGATATTTTCAGTATTGAAATGAGCCAACCTTGAAATGTACTCAAAATTATTTTAAACACAGATCAGTTTAACAGATCATTCTGGAAACCTGATGTAATGTTCATTTGTTGTCAGCACATCCACTGTGGCAGGTTTGACTGATGACACACCAGCCACAGTAACACACACTCACACACTCACACACACACACACACACACACACACACACAGGAACAGAGAGAGAGTCTCAGATATGAAAACATCAGCCCACATTAACACACAGAGATGCCTGTTCCTTCCCTGCGTGTCAGTAACATGAGTGAGCGGAGGGACGGAGTGAGTGAGCGGGGAGATGACAGGCAGCGGCAGCAGCAGCAGGGGAGTGTTTCCCGCTCAGGTTCAGATGTGGGGATGAACGGAGTCCCCAGAGACGCCGCTGAGCAGAGGAGGTGGACAGATGCGATTCATTTATCATTTATCTCTATCGGTGGGACTCTTTTTCTTCTTTCCCCCCACGGTGCCACACTCCCGTGGGACCCCAATCCCATCCGCCCCCTCATCATCATTACTGTGACATCGGCAGCAGCAACATGGGTTGATGATCAATGGTGATGGCGATGGTGATTTTTTAACCTTACACGGTACTTTAAAGTGGCATTGATACACTTTGACGCAACGCCAGTGTAACTCAGTATTATTGTACGTTTAACGGGTCAGAGTCGTTAATGAACTAAGGAGGGTTAGTTTGAATGATGATGTCACAGTGATGTCACCAGTTATCTCAGTTTACTACAAATTTTTTTTTAATCATTTTATCTTTATTACAAACTGCAGGTGTGGAGCTTGAGAGATGCTTGTATTTATGAGGGAGGGGTGTTGATTGAAAGGTGCTATCAAGTTGCATTATGGGAAATGTAGGATCCAGTGATTTTGGAGCTTTACCCACTGGGATTAACAGTGCTGCTTTGATTTGGACCTTTTTTTATGTGTCTTATGAGTGTCCTAACTTTATGAAAGTGCGGAACTAAATTGCTTTAATTTCACATACTTCATGTAGCCTAAATATACTTGTATTACAGAGAATGAACTACGGGCCTCTATCAGTTTGACATGAGATTGTATCAGCTGCCTGTTTAACATGAATGAATCCACCATCGTTGCGCTGTTACTTTAATGTATAAGTTACCTGATGGAGTTAAAGTATTACACGCTGGGGGGGGAAGTGATATCATATTCCGCTCCAGCTGTTAATCAGCAGCTGTTTGCTGTGTGTAACAGAGCTGGAGAGATGCAGTCAGATCACACTCAATGAGAATCACGACGGCAGTTTGCATAACGATCCTGTATCCAACAAATACTCTCACACAGCGGCTCTGCTGCATCCACAACCTTTGAGGCTATTTTTGCCTTTTTGTTTTTTATTTCTATGAGCGCTCCCCGATCGGATCGCTGCTCCAGCGGCAGCACATGTTCCGCTGGATGCTGGGTGTAGTAGGTGTGGAGGGATACGGGACCCCTCAACTTGCCGTGCACAGAGCTGCAGGGCAGAGTCAAGTCTACAGGACTGTGAGTCGCAGAGTACAGCAGCTGATCATCTAAATACATTAAAAGCAGTCGTTTCATAGCCGCATGAAGTCCACATCTACATCTGTATCATCCCGTTACGCACGGTCACCCGCAGCGCTAACTGCAGTGGAAGTTGTGCTTTTCTCACACACACAAGTTTCACCTGAATCACTCAAGATATTTTTCAGTACTTACTCAGAAGCAGAGCAACAGGCAAGAAGAGGAGACATGCAGAATTCATCAGAGATGCCATGCTGACCCGACAATCTGTCCTCCGACCTCTCGAAGTTTCAGGTTTGCACCGGGATTCCCAATTTCTTTTTTTCTTTTCTTTTCTTTTCTTTTTTTTTTTCCTACAAGAGGCAGTCCAATGTCCCGCTCCTCAGCTGGTCAAAGTGTTTCCCTCCTGTCCTTGGTGCAGCTCTGTACTCCAGTGTTAAAGCATCCACAGTGCGCTCCCCTGCGCTGAAGGGGAGGGCGCGTCCGTGCCGAGGAGGGGGGAGGAGGAGGAGGAGGAGGAGGAGGAGGAAGGTCTACAGCAGCTCAGAGTCCCACATGAGCTGCACAGAAGCCAGGTCTGGCCTGGGTGGAGGGGTGGCTGCTGGGAGGATTTTAGGGATCTAAAAACAGTGGGAGAAGTATTCAGGTCCTTTACTCCAGTTAAAGCACCAGTACCTCAAAATGCTCAATTACAGGTCCTGCAGTCAAAATGGTTAGCAGCAAAAAATATCAAATTAAAAGCACTCATTCACTCAAGGCTGATGTATCAGTGTAAGGCTGTAAGTCTGTTCTAGTACATGTTCTTACAGTGAGGTTTAGTGCTGTGGTTCCCAAGCCAAAAAGGTTGAAAAGCATTCCTTTCAATTCTGATGTACAGGTTTGTATTTTATAAACATGTTAGTTTTTATGTAAAATCTTAATCTGAATAAGTAACTATAGCTTCAATATTCCCACAGTTTGTAGTAGAGTGGGAGAAAGTAGCGCAAAATAGAAATGGTTGAGTAGAATTACCTCAAAACTGTACAATAAAAGTCTGTTGCTGTCCACTTGCTGTAGAAAGATGTTTACATCAACCTTAGGTCTGTTTTCTGGAAGCACATAACAAAAAATCCTTTACAAATAAAGACAATAACAAATAGAGACACAATAAATTGAACAATTCTTTTTTCTTTTTTTTTCTTTTTTTTTATTCCAAAACGTTTGGGGTAAAAGAAACTGTAAAAGATACAACAAAACCAACCAAGCAGAGGGAAAAGAACACAACAGAGAGAACAAGTGACACAGCTGCCACTCACGGTGAAGCCAGAGTCAGCCTGTCCTTCAAACAGGGGCTGCAGCTGAAAGGTGAAGGTGCTAGTAGTCAAAATAATACATCGCTCTGTTTCATACACTGACATGAGCGCTCAAATATCTGTCCAAGCCGACTGTCTTCAAGACAAATGTTTGCAAACAAAACATACAGGTTCTCCTCCGCAGTGCTGTCTGAGCCTGACTTCAGATCCAACCACACAGCTGAATGAGATAAATGCTTGTTAAAGTTACATGGAACTGCTGTGGGATAATGCTCGAACATTACGTGTTGTCTAAAGGCCCAAATGGGATCAAACGTCCAAAACAGATAAAATACAATAAGGCACTTGCTAGACAAATCCAACTTAAGAGATTCTAAACACGGAGGTGAAATTAACAGAATTATTATTTATTATACAATCAGCAAAAAGTGTGGCCACCCTGTAGTTAAACAATAGGTGTGAATGGGCTGTACACAAATGATCATACACTTTGAACACACTTTAAAGATGAATAAACAGTGCATTTACAACCTAAAGGCTTTTCAATGTTCACTAAAACAGAGACTGCCAGAGCAGGAATGATTTCTGAATTCAAAACTTAAATGACAAGCAGGGTGAATATCTGCAGTCCAACTAAGTGCTGCCTCCTAGAGTCTGTGAGAAGTAACTGCACGTTAAGTTTAACAAACATTATTTGGAATATCCTGATAAAACAACATCAGCAGTAACAATTAATGTTTAGGAAGTGTTTTTATTATGTTTTATAACTAGTTTGACAACTCTTAAAGCAAGTATACAAGTCTTACAAATACTAAATGTTATAAAAAAAAAAAAGAGAAGGGACTAACACAGAAGAAAACATGGGGAGCAGTCTGATCAATTTACAGGACCGAGCTGTACACATGGACGGCTGCCAACCTCGATGCTGGGCTCCAAACATTTCAGATTTTAAAGGGGAATTTTTTCCGCCTGGGGCATCTTCGCAAATATTCATTAGATTTCAAAAATCTTTTTTTATAGTTATTCCTTATCCTTTAGTTCTTATTTGTATCCCTCAGATATCAGATAGATTTGTGAAAACAAGGTCAGACTGAAAAGGTGTAATGAGATATGCTCGAATACATCCAACTCAGAACAAATGTTATTAACTTTCAGTAAAACAATTCAACATGTTGATCCTCACTGAGACAGATTTGGCCTGGCAAGGTTGTCATCTCCAACCTAACGAGAAATAACTGAAAAGAAATATGCCACCAACTTAAATTGGCTTTGGATGTTTCATACTTTTGGTTGCTGGGATTAGCCTGGTACTGTATTCCTGCGGCAACTGAATTCCAAGTTAACTGTAGCAGGGATGCTGCTCTGTAAAGAAGAAGAAAAAAAACGTGTCCAGGCCTGGTGTTCGCTCATAAGGCCGAGATACAAGGCGACATTTTGAGGTGAGACACTTCTTTTGGCGTGCTGTTGCTCAGAAGTAGCCCCTGCATCACAACTTGTCCAGTATTCCAAAACTCAACATGTCTGACTGACGGGCCAGAGGACCGCAGCAGAACAAAAAGAAACAGCCATGTTTGGTCTTGTGCACCACTCAGCTGAACATTCTTTGAGTCTTATGCACATTTGGATGATGCAACATCAAAGGAGTTACAGGTATTGTGTGTCTGGGAGACCAGACACCGGAGCAGAATCATCAGGCTCTCTGGCTGTCGTTTCTGACACAGTCTTTTGCTTCTTGATGGGGATAAAAGGATGAGACACGACCAGACTGCCTGCAGCAGTAATGAAGGTCTAGAAGAAACTACAGTGAACTTAAAGAGTCTCTTTAACAGAAATCAACAACAATCTTTCTGTCCAGACCATTATTGTCTTGCATTGAAGATATGTCTAGGAAAAAAAAACAAAAAAACACAAAGGTAACAAAAACAGTCTTTTTCCTTAATGGACACTTCACCTGTGCAGTTAGAGGAGGAGGAGGAATGGGAAGAAATGCCCGGGGGTAGAAACAGCTGGATTCAGGGTTGTGTCAAGGGACTGGTGGACTAGAGGGGTCCTTCTTCTTTAACCAAGTGAAAAGTTTCAAATATTTTCATTTAGGAGCCCTCGTCTTCCGTCTCCAACCAACAACATGATGTTCCATCCTCAAGCTCCAACAAACTGCTCAAAGTGAGGGGTGGGGGTGGGGGTGGGGGTCGTCCTGGTTGCCTTCTGCAGACTCGTAATGGACTCATGATCTGTATTTATGAGGACAACGACTCCTCTGCGCCAGACTTTAAATGAAAGAACTAGTGGTTGACAAGACCCTGCAGCATCATCATCAGGCGCCGCGCCCTCTTGCTGAGCAGGCTGTGGGGGTCCTGCTGCAGGAAGGCAAAGAGCTTCGGTCTGACCTGGGCCAGCACGGAGGACATGTGGTCTCTTGTCAGCGGGTCGCCGTGGTCCAGATTCATCACTGCATCCTCCAGGTAACTGCACAGGGACACAGAGGGAGAGAGATGTAAGATAACAATGACAAAAGACTAAAAGTTCCAGCCAGGCAGATATCATCTTCTGTAGGTGTGAGCAGGAAAGACATTGTTAGAAGAACTACAGTGTTTAGCCACCAGGCAGACTCAAGAAAAAGACAGGATGATGAAAAATTAACTTAGAAAATGACGTGAAATGAAAAAAAGGTTGACGTGTGCATCTGAATCTCCAAACCACAGGCTTCATTCACTCCGATATAAAAGCAGTACAAGGATAACTTGCACAGACTTTGTGTTTTGACCCTTGGAGCGGCTGCAGGGGACACAGAAAGAGCTCGATCACTGTCTCAACTATCTTTCGCAGCTTGAATGTCAAGCGCTGTCCTTGATCACCTTCCTGGCCGCCAGCCCACTGTGTGAATATATACGTCTTCACTCAAATATCACAACAGAAATTGAGTTTTGCTCATTCTCACCTGCGTCCTGTCCTCTCACTCAGGCTACACTACATTTAACTCCACAACTAATTGTTTCAGTCAGACATCTGGTGATTACACTGTCCAGACTGTGCTCTATTTCTGCTCTGCTCTCTCACTCTGTGTCTTTCCAGCTTCTACCATTTATCTCCATGTCCGGAGCACTTCCTGCTCCCAGTCTAACCATTAGAGCTGTTCCCACATAACAGAAAGATGCCAACACACTCTTCAAAAGGACATTTAATGTCACTGCACATTACATTGCAGATACTGCACGCCTTTGTACAGTTAATGTCTTGCAGGAGATAATCTGCCTTTAAATTAATTGTGTCCAATCCACTCAAATTCACGTTTTCCTCATGTGAACTGTTAATGATCCTGCTAAGACCGCGGTTTTTGTGGATAATCACATCTTCTCAAGTCCTAACAATGCCAGCAGTGCTTTTGTTTCTCCCCTGGTTTCTCTTGTGGATTCTTCTGAGATACTATCTATCAGAAGTAAAGAAGAGGAGGCTTCTTTATCTTGTGCAAAGCCTTAAAAAGTGCTTAAAGTTTAGGATGCAAAGTTTACAGTGCCATCTATCCTTTGATGTGAACAGAGACTTGGGAATACATGCATTAACTATCTATGACATTTAGTGTACACATGTTGTGATTTTTGTATTATCCCAATATTAACTGACTTCTAATTACTCATTCTATTTGCTCATTTACCACAGCTTGGAGTTCCCTGTATGGCTTAAATACAGTTAGCAGTAAATGTAGGCAAAAGTGACATATGTTAAAAAGTTTTATGATTTGTCTTGTTTTGATTCTTTCCACTGCACCCTCTCCCACCACAATCATCCAACCATGGCTGTATCTGCTCTAATAATGCTTTAGACTGAACCACACCCTGCTGCCCTCATCTTTTTCTCCAGATGGCACACAGCGGCACCAGAGGGCTGTATTAGCAGCAGCAGGCAGCTGCAATGTAAACGCAGCACCAGGCATGTGCTGTAAAAGGACTCTGATAGAGAAGGAGGGTTTTCTGGGGGAGAGAAGTACAAGAGGAGATATGGGATGTGAGGATTCAGAAAAGAAAAGGAAATAAAGTGAATGGGATGGGGGTCACGCTTTCATTTTGAGGAAATATAAAAGTTCAACACAAACTGTTAAAAGAACAGAAAAAACAGGAGGGAGTTCAGGAGTGAACAACGGGATAAAAGATACAAGGACACAGAAAGAACAGAACGATAGAGAGAATCCAGAAATTGCAATGCTATTCACAGGATCATCTGAGCTCCCTGGACAGCCATGTAGCAGGGCTACAGACGGAGCAGGGTGATGGGGTCAGCAGTTTAGCACTGTTTGGCACTCGGGAGACAAAGAATAATGGACATACAATGGAGATGAGATGGGGAGCAAAAGTTTAGACAAAGACTGACTTTATTATTGATTGAGGGGCACACAGTGTTTGAGAATGGGCACGTAATAAAATTCAAACCGTGTTCGCTGCTATCACTTTGTAAGAAAATGAACTTAAAATTAATTTGAGGAAAAAATAAGCTTATACAGTTCACAGGTTTTTGATTAAAGCCAATGACATTTTCCAAAATTGCAAGTTATGCCTGCTGCATTGCAAGACAGGTCTTATATCAAGCTACAGTGGTGTGAGACAATCATTTAATGAGACAATGATATCCTGCAAGGAATCTCAAAAGGTAAGAATGTTTGTATTATTTTAAACTGGAAATGGTCCATGTGTTTAATATGTCAATGTTCATGTGCAAGAATATTCAGGTTATTTTAATCATCTATATTGCAGATTATAAATAATTCAGTAACTGGTCTAAGACCTAAAGTGACAGTAATAAAACCATGTAGGAAGACCACACAGTAAAAATATACAAAGTGGTGCATTTGATAAGGAAACCCTGGAATATTACGCTTCTGTCACATTATTAGTCGTTATGTGGAGGACAGATTGTGCTTGAGGCTCGAGGCTTTTGGAGCTGATGTGCTATGTCAGTAAGGGGAAAAAGGTTAAACACAATATTGTACCCGAGTACTTGTATTTGAGTTTGGCTTGTTTGAAACAGAGCAGCTGTTTCATTCAACATCACTCACATATTTTTTATTTCCCACTGTGAGTATAGGAAAACCTACATTAATTTACCGTTTTCTGATGTCACAGACATTTGTGATGAGGCGGTCAGTCAAGTTCATATCTCAGGTGTGTCTTTCACATTTTTGACTTCCACAATTAACACACTAAAAAGAGACAATTACTCTGACCCTTTAGGAGAGCCAAGTAATTTTCAAGTTGGTAACGATGTGACAATGTGCAAAAGTCATGTACTATACAGTTCTTTCAAAATATGGTGCATGAAATAACCTTGGTTTCCTCACCTGATTTTAAGCTCAGAGCGGGTTGCGAGGTTGGAGGAGAGCTGCTGGATGAGCGACAGCAGCACGGGCTGGCTGAGAGGGCAGGGGTGCTGACCAAACACCTGCTGAGAGTCAATGGTCTCGCACACATACAACACCAAGTTCAGATCTGTTGCTGACAGAGCCTGCGGACAAAGTGAGACAGAAAACCATTTTCATACATCCTTGACAACATAAGTTCAAAATCACCTTCCCTGCAACAGATCTATGAGAAAATATTCCTGTCCACCAACTATAAAGCAAAAAAAAAAAAGAACTACTGGTAGCATGTTACTTCTAAAACTGGGCAGAGAAATGTCTATAAAGATAAAATTTTTTCTGCTATATTTTTGTTGACGTCAGATCACTACGCTTGTTCAGACCACAAAAACTCAAGATGAATCCATGCAACAACAATATGTTTAGCATCCTATTAAAACTTTGAGTGTAGATAATCTATTCTAACCCTGTTCTGTTTACAAACGTCAACCCAAAAGGTGACGCATGAACTGAATTCTGCTCGTGTGAAGATGACTGATAACAAAGCTGAGAGAGCGTAATGGCTATTTAGAGCAGGTTCAGCTAAGAAGTTACTTAGGGTAGAAAAACACAAACATAATGAGCGCTCCTAGCAGAGCTAAAGCACTAGTGGGGCCTGCAAATGGGACTGTATGAAGCTGTTGCATATTGGCTTTCTGGGCCTTATAGTCCTGGTGGGCCCTGTATGCGTATGCGTGTGTGTGTAAGTGCATTTCCATCAGTGAATACTAATAAGTTATGTGAGGGTATTTGCATTCATTATCAACTGGAAAATACAATTAAGCTACAGAGGCTGCAACGTGCACAATGCTACACCTGTGTGTGTGTGTGTGTGTGTGTGTGTGTGTGTGTGTGTGTGTGTGTGTGTGTGTGTGTGTGTGTGTTACCTGCTGGAAAGCCTGGTTAAGCTGGCCCTGCTGGAGGAGCTGCAGGATGTTGGCCTGCTGTGTCTGGTAGTCTAGGTGTGCTGTGGGGACGGGTGTGCCAGCCGCTGACCTCATTGCCTGCATGATGCTGGAGGTGACCACTGCCTGCTGCTCCTTCATTGCCAGACTCACCTCCCCTTTGACAATTCGTTGCACGTGGCTAAGAATAGACTCCTGCAAACTGGGCAGGAAAAGGACAGCAGAGAAAACATAAGGACAGAAAGTTGGTTCCAGTATCTTCAACCTCTAAGTTTGATTTGATTTGGTGAACCTAACATACAACCTTGAATCTCAGATTTAAATTCTGGCTCAATCGGGCATTGTCATTTGTTTTTCAAGATTTTTAAGTTTTAGTTGGCCAACTACTTGGTCTCTGCTCCACCCCCAACAAATGTATAAACTCTAGAGGCCATGAAATTAATTGCAGAGGGAACAAGAGACTCGATCGAATTTATGTTCTTACATTAGCCCCAGGATTAAGCTTTGCTTGTTTCTACTCTCCAATCCATTACACACCTGCTCGATAGGCAGTGAATAAGGCCAGGACTGCTGGCATAGGCATCTGCTGATATGCATATCTGATATTAAAAATGTCTGCTTAGAATGTTAATCAGTGATATCAGACCAGTCAATGTGAGTAATATCATTCAACAGCAGGAGTCTTTTGTCACTTGACAGTGACAGCTCATAGTACTGAGTGGGCAATGTCAGTGATTTTATTTATTTATTTCAGTATCAAAAACTGTAACAAACTTCACTGATGAGTGCAGGTATGCAACATCTAGTTACAGTAGACTGTATTTAGGGAAATATATAGATGTAGCTAAATGACAAACGAGGACAAGAGGAGGAGATTCAATTCTTTTCAAATGTGACCGTAAAAGATTTAAAAAGCAGATTTCCAATCACAAGTGGATAGCAGTGTGATCAATTAGGGTTAGCCAGGATACATACTTTCCCACCATCATCTGGATCTGGTGCTGGATCTCTCCCCGGACATTTGCTGTGATATTATTGGCCATCTGATCACTGGAGCTTTGGAAGCTGTCAATCATCTGTTGGAGCTGGCCAATCATGGGGTCTCGTGTCTCCTGCTCTCTCTGCTTTCTGTTCTTCATATGAGTCTCAAGCTGCTGGATGTCTGCAAAGATCACAGTCAAAAGAAAATCATTTCTTCAATTAATAATTTTTCCTTTAGCTAAATTACATTGTTATTCACTGGTTAACAAGTGAGGTGCCACCATAGTAATGGTGGCTTGTTTACTTCCGTCCACAAACCAGATTCATAAATACACATTATAAAGTCGAGTCTGATGGCTCTCATTATCAGCCTTATGTAAAGCATCAATCAACTGTTCTGTTAAACACCCAGATATTTTCTCAGGAGTTGGAGGATCAAACAGTGCAAAGGTTTGTTGCTAACAGGTTAGCCATAAAAACTCAATACACTGATTGTGTATAAGGACTGGTTTTAAACCTTTTTCCTTCCTGGTAATCATGGACCTTACTTTTTCTACTAGTGGTTTGAAGAACAGATTGATAAATATTATGAAAACAAATTAAATGCGAATGCATTCTGGACCGCGTTCCCTGGTTTCAATAAATTATCTTTTTCATGCAAAGCAAAGTTAACAACATGCATGAAGTATATAAAATATACAGCCTTACATTCAATGTCCACCCATATATATGACAAATTAGGGGAAGCACCACATGCTGTACACACAGCATGTGGTGCTACACACTGCCCCACCCCCCACACACACACACACACACACACACACACACACACACAACCAGGTAAGTATTGTGGCCACTCGATTTACTGTTGGCTATCTGTGTTTGTCTCCCTGCTCTACACACTTTATGACAGCCTTGGTAAATTTAAAAAAAATCCATCATTTTTCCAAGGTGGGCATGAACACAGTCTCAGAATAAACACATCAGTGCCTTGGGTTAGTCTGAAAAAGCAACATTAGAAAAGCTGTCCCTGAGCTTTCTGAAGAAGGTGGTTATTTAATTAGACCTCCAGATGAACAGACCCTGATTTCAGGGCTAGACACTGGACACAACCAACACGAACAAAGCACCATTCCTCCCATCGTAAGGAAACATGCCACTGAGAGCGACCACAGAAGCATCCAGGGACATTTCCAAAATGTTTGAGTGTCTGAACATCTAATGAATAGTTATTAATACATTTCCGGAGCATTCAAGAAAAAGATGAATTTGACCTTGTGTTATAGTAGGTCATATCTTTAAAACTCCACTATATTTTGATATTGCTTACATTCTTGTGTTCCTTGTTTGAAGCTGTCATTGATTTGCTGGAACATGGACTGGCAGCCTCTCTCAAAAACAGGCAGCACGATGCTCTGGAAGGCATCTTTATAGGCTGCCTGGATGGGCCCCTGCATCGCTTCAGCTGCTGCTCGGCCAATTGCATCTGTTGTGTTCTGGAAAATAGAAAGCAGAAACAGAAGATCTGTGTTAAAACGGTAGTGGAGAGTATAGAGGGCTTACTCTGGACAGCATGAATAAATTAAAATTAGTGCCTCGCAGTTATATGCCTCCGCTAACAAGTCAAGTTGCAGGAAATATGGTCACAATCGTCCCTTCTGTTCCTGAATTACAGCGTTGAATAATGGCCAGAAATGTTTTGGCAAAACATTGTGATGTCACGGTGAAGTTTGGATATAAAATGTCATAATTTAATCCTATTAGTCTTTTGTGTTAAATTGTGCCATAATCAGCACATGAATTCTTCAGTTACAGCCATAAACGTGTTTTGTGAAGTCACAGTGACCTTGAACTTTGACCATCAAAATCTAACCAGTTCATCCAGGAGACCAAGTGAATGTTTGGACAAAATTTGAAGAAATTCCCTTCAGTTGTTCCTGAGATATCGTGTTCACGAGAATGGGACAGACAACCTGAAAACATGATGACCAGCGTGGAGGCATAGAAAGGCAGGTGGTGAAGTGAGCCAGCTACCTACCTTGGATTTGACCACCTTGCTGACATTGTCCTTTAGGGTGACCTCCACAGCAGTCAGCTTGGCAGCAATTGTGTTGCTCAGCTGACCCGTCACAGGCTCCAGGCTCTTAGAGATCGCTAGAGAGGAAATAATTAACAAGACAGATTAGCAAGAACTAACCTATAATTAGGCCTGTGATCAAGGAAAGGGTAAAAAGACAGGAACATCTCATCCTCGAATTAGAGGGCAGGAGAGGCGAGGCAAGAAAACATCTCTCCAAAGACTGCTCAATATTAGTGTCACAGTCCAACCTAACTCAGCTGCCTTTGTTATATTTAATTTAACTTATGCCTGGGATGACCTCAAGCATTAAGATAACAATGTGATTTATTGATGTGCAGCCTGGTCTGTATTTTGTCCATTTTTTGTACTGAAAAACTAAGACAAGATAAAAGAAAGAAAACAAAATCAGTTAGTAGACCAGATGTACTTCATCTATGAAAGGCATGCTAGACCTGCATTGTTCACTGCTAATTTAGATCAAGGATGCAAGTATCTGATTGTCACAGTGATATCAGCACACTGACCTTACCAAATGAATAACAAACTGGCCATGACATGACCAGTGTACATAAATCACAAAGTCAATGAACACACAAAGTCAGTGCTTCACATTCATTGAGTCATGGCAAGTCAGACTATGTCTATATTAAATCATCTGAATTTCTCAACAGTGTTTTCATTTGAAAATGATTTGCATCCACATTAGCATTTCCAATTAATTTCTGTAGAGACCTCAGTCCACAGCAACACCTGAACAACATGAAAACAACTAAATCTAAAACAATGAAATGGTGCGATACCACCATCATCTGGTAAAAAATATGGCTGACTGTGCTTACAAACACAAGACTCCACCTGGTCTCAACCGACTCTAGTTCTGGTATAAAGACTAAAGCTTTCCTTACTTTGTGAAACTGCGTTCTCTGCTTATTTTGTTCTCACAGACATTTCTTCATTTGTGCTGACAAACTAAACTGACAGTCTATCCACACTGGAGAGTAGACTGCCCTCATATTAATACAGCTCTTACCTGGTGCCTAAATAGTTGCTACTAGAGGCATCTAAAAAACATTAGCACACTTACACGTTGCAGAATCTGCTAATGATTTAGGAAAATCTCTCACCCATTGTAACTGCCATTGTTAATGCAGTGGAAGTTGACTATGTTCTGGACACTATTGGCCTGGTGACTTCACTACAACTGGCCTTTAAAATAGCCCCAACCAGTGGCTGCCCAGCTCCACTGGAGAGAGGATCTCAGTTAATCTCAGCCTTGTTGGTTCAACCACTCCGAGTATGAACGGGAAAAGTTTCAGGTCTACAGGAGAGCTTTTAGAAAAATACTCGACATCAAATTGCTCAAAGAAGAGACTAACTTCATTTCCTCTGTTAAGCCAGGGAAACTGGTTAAGGTGGCGTCCAGCTTAACTGGAGTATTTTGCACAGGATGCATGAACAGGAAACATCTCGGACTACTGCAATTGAGATATGTGTCAAGAGTCTTCAAAAAAGTTCTCCTTATGTGAAGACTATCCAGCGGAAATAACAACAGCCTCCCTTACTGCCTGGTTTGAAAAGCAGCCGTGCTTCGTTAGAGACATCACCGTGCCCTTACTAAATACCAGCAGAGTGGAGGGGCGACACAGACGGCAGCGTATCTATGGCAACATTGTAAGGCAAGAGCTATTGACATTATTCTTAACAATAGTTTTTTCCCTGACTCTCTGCCCGGTGTCAGTGATGTGAATAGTGTACGAGAGTATTATGCTGCTAAATGTAATATTCTCTCCTGTGCCATTGATCATGGCCCCATGACGTGGAAACACTGAAACAATTGTGCCAGACTATTATCCAGACACGAACAATTTCACTTTAGATGAACTAAATTAAGTCCTCTCATCTCCAAAACAACAAAGCAAGAGGCTACGATAACATCATACTTGAGAATCTAAAAGCCACTAGGCCTCAGTCCACTCAGACTCTTTCTCAGGGGTGCCCTTATTCACAGAATACCAAAGAAAGAGAATGGTCCATCTACATGAAAAGACTTTTCTCTCCTCCCTAAGGTCTATAAAGTACTTATGAAATGCATGCTTGCCTGCACACTGACATGACTCATGGATACACACATTCTTTAACCTAAACAAAAGTATATATATGGACAGACGAGGCATGAATGAGGATACATTCTGCCTCAAAACTTCAAGAATGAATCATCTAAATTCTACACTGCATTCCTGGACTCTAGAGATGCCTTTGGAACATTATCACACAAGCTGGTACTTAAAGCACTGGAGGAAATTCACCTTCCTCAACCATTTGTGGACATTTTATCTGATGTGTTCAAAGGCTCTTCTCTTTTAGTGGGAATAAACTCACAGGACATATACCACTCAAAGTAGTGCTGTACTTTATCCTAGCCATCAATCCGTGGATGAAACTGCTTTGTCACTGTTCTCCCCCACACCTTACATCGACAAAAATCCTGTCCACTGCTATGCTGATGACGTTCAGGTCTCATCCAGAGATGAACACATTATCAACATCATGCTATCTTAACAGATGAGTTACCATAATGCTCAGACTCAAAGGTGAAACATAGTGATAGTTATATTTGGAATCAGCTGTGTTTTCTTTACCCCCGAGTGTCAAGGAATATAGAAGACCTCTGTACAAATTTGAGTCCAGTTAATTGTCAGTTTAATTGGCAGATTCAAACAAGTGTTTAAAATGTCTGTGTGCTTCCTTACTTTGTGGGACTGTTTTCTTCATTTCCTCTCGCAGCACTTTGTCCATTCTGTTGGTGAGGGCTGAGCTGAGGGCGTGGCTGAGCTGCTGGCTGAGCTGCTCCTGAAGCTGCTGCTGATGATTCTGACTCTCTGCCAGAACTCGCTCCAGTCTGCGCTCTGAGATCATGAATGGTCAAGGCTCGAAATAATATGCTGTTAAAGGATCACCATGGAGACGAGCATGTGCACAACAATGACAACTCTAGACGGGTTTGTCCTACAGGAGGGGTGTTTCAAATGGAGCACATCCTGTACACAACACCTTTTTGTGCCACTTACTCATCAAAACATTGTGCTTAACGTAATGCACGCAGGGTAGCGTCAGTTGTTCCAGTTGACACCAGGCCTCAGGTTGTGTAACCAAAGAAAAATCATGTTGCTTCTGCACAGGGCCTTTTGCTTAATTCAATTTTATTTCTGAATAATGGCATCACAGTTCTTTACTGGGCCTGGGTGTAGAGTGGGCTAATGTTTTTAAATTGGTGGCACATTTGTAAAAGAAACAAACTACTGAAAATGAGTAAGAAAGACTGAAGGATACGTTCCTGTTCCTGGTGGTTGGTCAGGACGTGCTCGACCTGGGCCATAATGGAGCTCTGCATGGCTTCAATTTGCCCACGCAGTTCAGTCAACTCTCTCTGCTGGCTACGCAGGAGCATCAATAACTCGTCCTGTACTTCTACGTTCATCTGTGAACAGATGGAGAGAATGACTGAAGAAAAAAGGAGACCAAGTGGAGCGAGGAAATGTGCTACTGAAAAAATACATCTGCTGAAAAAATAAAAATTTTAGTGATGCTAACTAAAACTAGCTTGTTTTGATTTTCCTGTCCACTAGTAGCTAAAAATCAAATACTGGTTTAAGTTAGTTCTACAAGAACTTCGAAAGAAGACATAAAATATAAAATAAAGATACAATAACAGCAATATGCACAGATTTGTGATCATCTTACCTGACCAGAGTCCATTTGCCTGGACTGAGATGATTCACTGAGGAGAAGGAAGAAAGAAACTTCATGAGCATTATAAGACCTTCAGAGTATCAAGAATTGTGTTTACATGTGTTCTACAAGTTCATGTGTACATTAAGAGTTATTAACAATTATTTTGTATATATTTAGGGAGATGAAATAAGTGATATTGAATTCAGGCATGGACATTAAATTAATGACTGCTTCTTACTGTGACATTACAACATTACCAACAGCATGTTAGCCAAATAATATACTAAATAACACTAGCAAAGTATTTGGAGATACAAACACATTTCAGCCACGTCTTTGCCATAGCTTGACAATCCATATAACCTCATCTGCTGAACTTCAACTAAATTATGCTGGATTAAGATCGAAAGCAGGCTCAGTCATTGCTCAGTTTTGTTTGTTGCACTACTTCATATAGAGAGATACAGTAAAAAGCAAACTGCTGATGAATACTCAAATCAATGAAGCCTGGGTGAGTGTCTGATAATCTCCTAATTATCATTTTTATTATATCCCCACTCCATACAAAGATTTTTCAAGTATCAAAATACCTGTCATCTTTTTTGGCCTTCCTCTTTAGTTTTGGCGAGCCTCGCGGAGAAGTCTTCCAATCCTTAACAGGGAGTCTGTGAGAAGAGCGAGAGCCGCAGTTCCCCGAGGACGATGCCAAGCTGGCCACCTCATCATCGGGGTCGCTGGGTACACAGATACACACGCCACACAGTAAGAAAGCCGCTGTAGCCTGTGAAGCCTACTGAATGCCATGTGCACAGTGATCATCTTGGAAAATGAATAAATGTTTTTGTGCCTTAAAAAAAATTACTGTGCTCATTTTTGGATGGTGTGTTCCTTAAGAGTTACCTCTGCTCTGCACCAGCGTCCTGACTGTCGCTCTGTGTGAGGTGATAGGAGCGCCGATGGTAAGGTGAACTCAAGAGTCTGTCATTTGACTCCTCTCTTGAACTGCAACAAAGAGGAGACACATGCCACAAACCTCTTTGTGATGAAAGGTTTTCACACTCATTTTACTATTTCAACACAGATGTCACACATAAACTGACCTAGTCATATTGTCAAAGCCACATCAGCTCTCCCTTTACACTTGCAGGCCTTACGTAACAGCTTGTTTATGCTAATGTGTGTGTGTTCAGGTGCTCTATATACTTTTGTATGTTACAGGTTTTGAAAATAGAGAACAAAACTGTTTCACAAGTAATCATTTACACTAAATGTTACAGACAATATACAAGTTTTATTTTCCCAAAGTAGTGGTCAGGGTTTACAAATGAGATTGCAGGACCTCTGAGATATTTCATGTAGATGTGTATGTTTATATTTGTTAATTGTATTCGTATGTGGGAATTCTTACCAGTCTCCAAGACCATTGTCCCTGAGGCTGTTCCTGGTTTCTCTGGTGATGTCAGGTGCAGCTGGCCAAGGTGTGTGGCTAACACTACCATCTGAAGACCCTCCTCCTACCCCAGGGTTCTCCTGCGATAAGGCATTCTCCAGTAAAGATGGGGTGTGGCTGAGTCTGGGCTCTGACTCTACCGCCCCACCCACTGGTCCATCTGCCCCTCCAAGTTCGAGGGGCAACAGACTGAGACAGAAAATACAGTAGTTTGGTTAATTTAAGGGACTGTACTGGCGTTTTTGCAAGTTACAACATCATATATGCTTTTCATTATTCCTGACTTTTTTAAAATACATATCGATTTTTGAAATCAGGTTTTCATTCCTCATGTTACAATAGGATCAGCTAACAGTCTCTATATTTTTTATATATATATATATATATATAATATATATATATATATATATATACACATTTTCTGTTTCTGTTTTCTGTCATGGTAACATTATGATTACTGGTCATCAGCGTACCCGTTGTTAGCTGTGCGTGGTGACGTGAGCAGGTGCAGCGCAGAGGCAGCAGAGGCCATGCTGTCTGTCTGGAGAGCAGACAGTGGTAGGGGCTCCAAGCTGGACACTAATCCACGCTGAAGCTGCAGGGTTTGGGATGCAATCTCTGGCATGTCCTGGGACATGGCTGTGGAGGCTGAAGAGATAACATCAGGGGAGCGGGCCCTGGTTGGAGAGGCCAGTGGTGGTAGGAGGGGAGAGTCCAAGACCTGAGGGCTGTCAAGTGCAAGAGGACCGCTAGGGGACGCCAAAGGCTAAATATAGAGAAAAAAAGTGTATTGGAAAAAGATCATGCCATATGATTATTGGAAGACTGATAGGAGAGTGTTTCAGGTCCTACCTGTAAGTTCTCCAGACCAGGCAGCAGCACAGCAGTGGCAGCTCTGGGGCTGCTGGTGGAGGCAGAGAGTGTCAGACTACTGCTGCTGTTGTTCTCTGCTCTGTTAGGACTCTGACTGACATCATCTATAGCTCTGCACACAGTAAGACAGACATACTGTACTCAACCATACATATTAATGTGTGTGACCAGAAAACAAAACAGGAACAAATTATGTGGCTATGTCAAACATAAACAGGGTTTGTATGTAAAATGTGTAGAATGCAGTAAACCCCTCAAAAAACATCCCATATGCAGTAAATTATCTCTATGCAAGTGGAACATATCTGAGTTAGCCAGCACTAAAGATATATAACTATTAAAATGGTTGACATAACACTGGCCACTACTAATTACTGTATCGTGAGCTTATACGAACTAGACGGCATAAAGAAACCTACCTGTTAGTTGAGTCAGAATTGCTGCTGATAGCTGTTACAATGGTCAGACTGCTGGCACTGCTGCCAGGAGATGCCGGTACCTGGAGGGTAACATAAAAGTAATTTATGGGGAGCAAATGTAATGAATGTTCAGATAATCACTTCTCTGTGGTTTAACTGCCTGTTTTTTTAATATTACAAATTTCATTACCTGGATCAAACTGAAGACCTACTTTATCTTTGGCTGTTTAGGTTGTACCTTCATGTAAACTTAAACAGCCAAAGATGAAGCAGGTCTTCAGTTTGTATGGATTGTGTATTAACAGGGTTATGGGCTTGTGTGTGTTAAGTGCTGGCAGCAGCACTCGACTGATATGTGGGAGGAGGTGCTATTCATGGGAAGAGATGTTGCTAGGTGACAAATAAAAACATGTTTGAAGCATAGTGTCCATCTGCTGGAGTTGAAGTGTTTTTTACCATTTTGTAAACTGCACGCTGAACTGAAACTCAAGCCCAGTAGCACTAAATACATGGCGTATGAGTGTTCATACCGAAGTGCTTGGTGTCATGAAGGCGTCAGGAGTCATCAGCTTGGGCATTGGCCCACTACCAGGGGTAGAGTTCGACAGGAAATCAGCAGGAGCAGGAAGAGATGGGATCTTCCTTAGGTCGGTCTGTGAGCCACTTCCTGAGTCCTTGTCAGAGCTCTGGTCAGTGAGATGGTCTGAAAACCCTGCTGGTAATACAAAATTTAAGAGTACTTTAGTTATGTGGAAATATTTGAAATGACACAAACCCAATGTGCTATATATAGAGCAAAGAAACCAGCTATGTCTTCAAAGCATCTTTTTACATCTTACAATACAGAATTTCTTTAAAGATATAATAGCACGATTTTCCTACAAACAATGTATGGACAAATACAAAAGTAACCCCACTCAATCATCACTCATGACCCCCTAGAAGTGTGTGGGGGAATATTTATCTGCAGAGAACCTGCCCTCTGCCTGTATTTTCCTCTAATTTTGCTGTGCTCAAGACATTTCTGGGCTACAACCTTTGGGCCCAGCCAATAACAACACGCAGGGTGCAAGGGTGGAACTGTCTAAAAACGGAGCAATTGGGTTATGTTGCTTTCTCCGTCTCTCTCCTCTGCTCTGTCTGTGTCATAGATGTATAAAGAGCTGCATGTCTGTGTCTCTGTTTGACCAAGGGCAGGACTGAGCTTTGGCTGCATTCATACAAAATACGGCAATGTGCCACCTTCTCTCATGGTGCGCGGAGGTATGTAACTGCTGTGAAACAATCAGAAAATTACAATTCATTTCTCCCATTCACTACTTTGTTCTCACACTGTCTATGCTGTGTGGTGGCTACTGCTCTGAACTGCTGCGGCTTGCACAGAGGTGTGTGTACTACCTTATTAACCTTGTTTGTTTTATTTTTGTACTTACTTTCTCTCTAGTAATTAGTAAATAACTAAGTCACACTTTTTTTAACATGCTAGATTATTCAGCTGTTTGATTAGATAAAACTAAACCTCTAACACTGTTCTCTCTACATACTTGGTGCTGTGGACACAATGAAAAAGAAATTTATGCAAACATTAAGTTGCATCATCTTCTTTGATTGGGATTTGTCCTTCCTGTTTGCTTTATTCTGAAATCTTGCGACTCTGACTTACCAAAACCATCCTGAGAATCAGAATGAGGCAGGAAGACTGCAGAGCTGGACCCCATAGTGGGCTGAAACCAGATCTGGACATCCTGCAGACTCCTGAAAACACACACAGACACAAACACATAAATTAAAGTACTACCCCAATTATTAGGATTTAGGCCAGTTGAAAATTTGAAACACGATTAACTTGACTATTTATATTCACTGTCTGTAAGCCAAGCTTTACTCTACTCTACGCAAACCAATGTGAGCTTACATCAGGTAGAGGGTGGAGACTTACTTGGTGTGAACACAGTAGAGTTTAATCTGGATCCCAGACTTGGACTCTGTGGGTCCTTGAGTGCCCTCTGGAAGAAAACAAACACGAAAAGTAGTCCTGTGTTAGTAGATAAATGCTGCTAAATATTTAATGTTCTAAAAGGGGAAAATTATTTTAATTCAGCAGTGTTCCCAAAAAGTCACCAAATGAAAGCTGAAAGTAAATAAATCGCCTTGTTTTAAAGATAACTGTTTTTATAACAGCCACTGAATATCTAAATGACCAACAACATGCAATATACAGTATTCATGGAAGAAATTATATGGTAACAGACTACAGGAGTGAGGAGAGTCATTTGCTTTTTGTGATGTAGTGAATGTGTGTAAATGAGCACCTGTGGTCATGCTCTCACTCTCCTCCTCTGCAGGGAGAACCTCAGTGTGTCGCAGTCGGCTGTGGGTGACATCCCGGACCCCGAAGCTGAGCACAGGGTGGGTCAGCAGGAACTCTGACACAGCTGTGAAACTGGCCTTCCCTTTCTCCAGATCCTGCCGCAGCTCCATCACATACAGAACCTGGCAAAGAATGACATCAACAAAGTATAAAGTCAAACTCGGGATAAAAAGATAATATGGGTAAAAAGGTCCAGATACCAAGTCCACAACTTAACAAAAATTTGGGGTCTTTTTCTTGGACAGACTACGCCTTGCTCTAGCAAGAGCGGCCTTTTGAACAAGATTAACTGAAACTGGCACTCTGAGATGAAGCATAGCCCAAGATTCAATTTAATTTAATTGGTGTTTAATTAACTGGAACAATTTCCTGAAGGAAGATTTGATTTTAACTCTCAAGGAGGCAGTTTATCTTCCGATTAATGCTAAATGTCAATGAAGTGACACTGAGTGATAGAAAAGTGAGGAGCTTGCTCAAAATTTGTGTCACTATCAAGGAATGAGTAAGCACTTGATTATTTGTTAAAACAATTTAATGAGAACATTCCTGAAAATATGCAACTGAAAACATTGTGCTGACCTTCCTCTGTACATCGGTGAGGATGAGATACTCAGCAGAGAGGTCCAGACTAGCCTTCAGACTTGGTAGAGCTGATGAGTTGAACGGATCTGGAGAGAACCTATGAGAAGAAAACACTCCATCATTAGCATCTTTTAGCTAATTAATGGTATCTGCTTCAGATAACAGAATGAACCATCCTGAAATCTCTTTACTCAAGAGCTAAACGTGACATCTGGACTGGTCTGAAGAACCAACTTGATGAGAGTCTTTCAGGAAGACATTTAATGTTGGACATAGAGCTGATACTTTACTGGTTCTGCCAAGGATCAGAGTGATTTAAATTCTAAATGATAGACCAAAGGAATAACCTGATGGTCTGTAAACAGGTCCAGGAAACAGTGCACCACATCTTCAACTCCTGGTTCTGATCTGCTCCAGTTATGAGGAACCGCCAGAAAGGAACCCTACAAAGAAGAAAAGTAGAAAGGACCAAAGATGACAAAGGAGAAAAAGAACATAAATGAACTAAAAATCAAATGGCAACAACTTTGGATTAGTGTATGTACTGTTTGTCACAACTTTCACTGAAAGCTGCGTGTGCACCCGTGTGTACTAACTCTGGATCCTGCCTCTTGTGGTTGTCACAGAAAAGAAGGCAAGAGAGGGGTCGTCCCCCATGAGGCCGCAATTCATGGAGACATCTGACAGAGAGTGAAGAAAAGAGAGAACGTGAAGAGAAGATGCAAAGAGAGAAAACCAGAATGGGAGAGAAGGAAGAAATTAGACAAAACGTTAATAACACACTACACACAATCTCAAACACACATTCAAAATACATCCTCCTTGCTTACCTGGGCTTGTCCTGTACACCTTCTATATATATCTGCCAGAACTTGATGTATCCATCATGGCTGGCTGTGGCTAACACAGTTCCATCTGGAGACAAGGCCCCTTCACTGACTCGCTGGAGGGTCAGACATAAAACAACACAGAGAATCAGTACAGCAAGGAATCCATGTGACAAGCCCAAAATCATACAGTATACCACTTTGTACTTCTTGTTATTGTGGTTTCACTTTTTCTAATGGAAACATCTTTAGTAATGTTTACTTCAAAGTAGTGACTACATGTTTCATATAAGATCATTTAAGTGTAGCGTATTGAACAAATACTTTACTGGTTAAGTCTTATTTAACAAGAAAGTTAACATTAGTGTTTGATAATGATCCCTACCTGGGTATGTCCTTTTACTGTGATTAGGCCTTCCTTCAGGTCCGTGGCATCAATAGGCCAACTGCTGTTGTTGGCTCTCAACACTTCCAGGTCCCACACCTCAGCCTGGAAGAGGAGGATGACAAAATTAAAAATCAGATGAACTCAAAAAATATTACTGTGATTTCAAGGCTCTTTCTTCTTTGTAGAGTTTATTATTATGAGCTCATTCCCCTAACTGACCACGAGGTTGTAAATATGTAATCGGTAGTACGTAATCTCTTTTAACTACTGTGTAAGTGGAAATGTTTATACATCTAATATATCCTGATTTTGTTCAAGGAGGGTTATAAAGCTGATGTTAAAATTCATAAAACTGTGACTAAAAATCAGTATTTGGAACCCCCCCACATTCCCTACCTTTTCCTCTGTTCTTAAAATTAGTTTTAATAAGGAATACTACTCGAACAGTCTATTTGCGATTACAGTGGTCTTTCCATTCAACTGGGTCAAACATGTCTGGGTAAAACACTGATACCCTGTCTTCGTGTAGAAGGGCCAAGGTCTGGCTGGTGTCATCCTGGTTCTCCTCGTTGTCATCCAGGATGAATGGACACCAGATGAGGCGACGATGGGAGTTCAGTGGAGTGTCTTCTGGTCGTTTGATGTGAACCACCATCTGATCTCTGTGGGGAACATGAGTTAAGGAAAATGGGAGAGAAGAACAGTTCGTGGAGGATCTGTTTCTGTCATGACCGTGACAAAAGCAGGCGGTGAAAAATCTGATGTTTTGGGCTGTTGTGCGTGGTATTTTAGTGGTTATTAGACACAGAAATATAAACAGTACAAATAAAAGTAGTAACATCCACTGTTACTACGCACACACGCAACACAACACATCCTCCCACACACGGTTTCGGTTTCTGCCACATGTCAGGATACAGTATCTTGTTTCCAGTGCAGGTGAGTTGCCAAACCATTAAGTTGCCCGCTTCATCTACACAACCCAACAGGGAGGAGTCAAGGTGGGCAAAAGCCAGATCTGTGACGGCCCCAGTGAATCCCTTCAGTAGGGAGCGCTCAGCAAAAGCCAGACTCAGGACACGAATCATTGCGTGGTTGTTGGCTCCTGGAGGAAGAGGTTTTTATTTTAAAGAAAAAGATAAACCAAGGGGCCGGGGGTATCACAGCACTCATATAAACACAGATAAAATCATTACTCTTTGAATACTTGTGGTGTGGACTGAACACAGGAAAATGTAATTCATTCAATGTATATACATGGTTACTGTTCAAGTTGAGAACAGTCCAACGTAAAGTCACTGTATTATAAGCAGCCAATACAATGTACTAATACTAGTACTGTAGTATTACTTCTTGATTTATAACAAGTAATATGTTTCTGTCATTTTGTGGTAGAACTAACAAATAAATAATTACTCCGGGACTCTCACCTCTGATGGCATAGGCCAGGAAGGAGTTGGACACAGCTATCAGTCTCCCATAATAATACTTGTGTTCCCAGTCAAACTTGGCAACTGGTTGAATCTTCACCTAAACAGAAAAAAATTCACCATTCAAAATTAATTCATACTGTCTCAACAAATGACTTTTTTAATAATGAGGCTGTGTATAAATAAATAAATGTATAATACTCATTTCCTTTTTGAGAATTAAATCTAAATACTGACACAATGAATGAACATTCAAATTGTGAAAATTAGAAAAAATATCTTTTTAAAGCACAGCAGCTTGTCACTTGTAAGAAAGCAAGCTCTTGACATCCTGTTGAGACATCACAGATGCAAGTTTCAGTCAATATAAAAGTAAAATATTAAAAAATATAATAACAATATATAACAAAATAACAGCAACAGACCCTTTACGGGCACAGCAGCTTGACTATCTTACTTTGTTGGTGTAAGAGTTCACCAAATTTGTGATTTATACACTTAAACGATAGCTGTATTTTGCAGCTGATGATTGAATTTCTTACCTTGTTGCTCCCTCGAGCCTTGCTGTTGATGCTGGAGTCCTGACTCGCTACAATCTCCACATTGTTCGAGGTGATGGGGATACAGGTGGACCCATCATCACCAGAGAGGCAGCTGAAATTATAGCACATGGATTTAAATACAAATATGGATTGAATTTCTTCAAAACTTAAAACACCTACAAATATACTTTGCAAAGTAGGTTAAGTAACAGATTATAAGCACCCACTCACATTATCTGACTCTCCTGAGCAGTGCTGATGTCTGTGGAGATGGGTCTAGTAGAGTCTGACATGGTTGACCGATCAGTGCTTCCTAGAATGCCTGCTGTTCCCAATAACCCGTTCAACTCTCCATTAAAAGATGGCTTTCTCTCACCGTCACTTGATTGTGCATCTGAGGAAAGAAATTGAATGTATGGGATATGTCAGCACACATTGTAGAAAGATGTAAATTCAAAGCCAACATGAAAAATCCAATCCAATCCAAGATAATGTTTGCTCTGGAGGTTTCTTACTGTATTAATTTGACAGTGCTAACAGCCTGATAAACAATCACGTAACTTATACACTAAAGTGTAAAAGAAATACACTTTATGCTTAAAAAGCAATTTGGTGCCTTAAATTTACATTCTGACTGTATTTTTCCGTAATAGAATTTCCCTGTTTCTTTTTCTTGTAAAATTCCATTCAGTTTGGTTTTATATTCCAGGGAAAAGTAGGCAATAAAATATTTGTACTGCTCCATGGTAACTAAACTCAAATTAAAGATGTGGTTCTGTGCTAGACAAGGATATTCTACAAAAAAAAAAAAAAACACATCTAATAATTTACTTTCAAACTATTGCAAATATTTGTTTTGTTAAGCTGTTAAACTATAATCTTGTTTAACATACTAAATTATTTGGACGGACAGCAAAAAACTAATGATACAATGCCTGTTAATTTGCTTTTACAGTAAGTAAAATGGTGTCTGCAAGATGCCAGTCACACCATTCTCCCTTGCAGGCAGTAATCAGTTCTCTTCTTATTGTAGCATAATACTTATTTCACACACGTTTTAGAGCAGGAAAACCACAGGTGAAACTAATAAAATAAATTACGACTGTAATCAATAACATGTTCACAAAATGCTGTTCAGGGATGTTCCAGTACGTTTTATAGTAGGCTACCGTATCAATAGCTGATAACAACACAGCCGAGTTACTTTGAGTAGAGAGAATATGGTGCACTGACTTTTTCTTCCAAAAAAGACATGCTGCAAATACTGCAACACAACGGTAAACAACGTCAGTGCAGAAGCGGGACGCTCGCTTCACAACAAATTAGTCTAAGTTTAGGGCATCTGTGTTTTCTTTTACTCCAGCTTCCCCAATGCCGACAGTGTCTTCGTTACAATACCGTGATCATTTCGTGGGTTTCTAAATGACTGTGCACTATGGTGAAGGTATCACAAACAAAGCTGAAATCGGTGTAACCGAATTAACCAAGAGCAGCGACCTTCGCACGCAGTTAGGCTCAAGCTAAATCTTGATAGCAGTAAAATAACTTGGCTAAATGCGATATAAAAGCCCAGTTGATATTTACTGCATTAGGGTCACAAATGAGCAGGTGCCACAGAACGCATTTCGAACAAATGAAACATTTTACAAAATTTTTCGCCGCTTGGTAATAAAAGACACAGTTCTCCTACACCAGAAAATAGACTGAAACATAAGCTAGCTCGCAGCGTAGCTAACACTGGGGACGATAAAATACTAGACACTTTTCCGGCGCAGTTAGCTTTCTAACATAACGACGAACTTGAACACAACCGTATCTCCACATAAATGAATGTGAAAATAAGAGTGCAAATTTACTGACATTCAAATTGTACTTTGACGCAAGTGGATGCCTTTCGTTAGCAGGTAGTGAAACAGCTATATAGCTAACTTCACTTGTGTAGTGCAGCGTGCTAAACCCTCTCATATTAGCTAGTATCAATTTAGCTTGTAGCTAGCTTTCCATTAGCTTCTGCGGCCTAAACTAGCGCAGCCGTTTTTCATTCCCGGTTCAACTTACCGGTGCCATTGCCGGGACGGTCGAGCTTGAGGATATCCCGGAGATGCTGGGTCGCACCCTCGATATCTATATTGGAGTTGGACGCCATGGGTGAGGGAAGGGGGAGACTGGGTTTATTTAGGGGGAGAGAATAATTTCTTGTTTGGTGCGATGCTGTCAGTGTTCACTTCGTTCACCCAGAGCAACCGTCTAAACTTCCGTTATGTCCGTGCCGTAAGTTCCGACTTGTCGGTGTCAGGTCATTGGTTCCTACCCAAACCTGATATCTGATACTTTAAAAAGTGTTTGTCCTTCCATCATTTTTGTATTTAGAGTTTGCTCCCTGGTAATTTTATCACCAGCCTCATAACCAACGTGTTCTGTCTCCCACATAAATCTAACTAGACAAGTATTTATCTGTATTTGGTATATGACAAATTCCAAATCCCTGATGTTTCATTCTTTAAAGCTAATAAGACGGGAGCGACGAGCTAATTACTGAAAAATGGCCAGTATTAAAATTTATGACATTACGACACTAACAATAACATATGTTCATACACTAACCAATAAAATTATAGATCAACCCAATCTTAGTCTATAATCGTATTTAATCATCTATGTTGCCACTACAGCCCCGGATGTTTTCCCAAAAGCCCGACCCATTTATGAAGTTTATAATAACATTATTTAAATTCATAACTTCAACTTTGTGTCATTTCCTCTCGGTTTCTTTGAGTGGACCAGTAAATCAATGCAGCTCTATTAGTACTGTACTGGGGAAATAGCCATATACAGGTCACCGGACAAATTCTGGAGCATTTGGGCTTGACTCAAAAGACTTGGTAGTTTCATTTTCGGGAAAATGAGTAAGAGAGCAAGGGGAAAAGACGGAAGGGAGGGGTGGAGACGGGTGAGAAGAAGACAGAAGAGGAAGTCTGGATTTGAAGAATGAAGAACAGAGTAGAAAGGGAGGAGTGAAAGAGAAATGGAGGTAAAGAATGAAGGCGAGATGAATAAATGAGATGTGAAATCTTGTGCAGTTGAAGAGAAAGAGGGATGGCAATGGAGGTAGATTTTGTCTCAATATTATTTATGTGAACCAAACAATCAGTGAGTAAATGTGTGATCTGTAAATATAAAACACCTTCCACAAATACAAAAAATACATTTCTAAACTTACAAAAATAACTTGCAAATATAAAACGGATCTACAAACAAGTGCCACGAATAAAAACATATGTGAATACATTCAATTGATTTACATATAAATGAAAAGCATTAGTGAATATCTTCCTAATATTTACAACTTTCAAACAAACATTTTTGAATCAAATTTCTTTCTTGTACGCTTGTGGATTTGCATTTTACACACACACAGTTTTGAGACAAACCTCCTGCCGGCGGAACGAAAATTGACTTGTATCGGGAAAACAAGTGATCGCCTGCTGACGCCGCCATTTCCGCTTTTCAAAGTAAGAGCACACAGTCTTCTTGGAGCTGTTTTATTTCCTCAAATAATCGACAAGTAACGTGCGCTATGTTAACGATTGTAAGATATGAAGTGACAGAACCTGGTTAAGGTGATAGTCTTGATAGTATGGCTTTTAGTGTTGATATTTGTTTTGTTAAGAAATGACATATAATATCATTTTATTGTTCATTGTTAATATACAGGCTAAGCTAACTTTAACTTGTAAACCGGAACCCGTTGCCAAGGTGACAGTAAACAGTCATGCTGTAGACTGAGATATTGAAAGCAGGGTTCTGACATTCCATACTGATGCATTGTAAATAGACCACATTTCATAACCATCCAACCTGTAAAGAGATAACTGGTGTCATTTCATTACCATTGAGTTTATTGTAATCATTCAGTCCATTTGCTGTTTACAGCATAATTGGTATTTTCTACATGTAGGCTACACTCAGTTGGCAGTTATCCTCATTAGTCTTGTACAGTCACTTGAACAGCCAACTCATCTCTTACAGGTGGTAATAGTAAGGAATATGTCATAATGCACAATATATACTAAATAAGTGAAAGAAAGGTTACAAGGTTCATTTATTTATCATTTGACACAGGGTTGAGACTCTACCATTAAAAAATATTTTTATTTTCATGACATCTTATTTATTCATTCATTTACATTATATAAATTTGTTTTTTTGAGTGGAATAAAGGGAACAACAACTAACACTTCTCCATGTACAATGTTATAAATATCCAGTCAGAGATGACTTAAAACAAAGATAAATTGAACTCATCATTAAAACATACACTATACAAAAAGAGGTCACTGTAAATGTGCATTTAATGACATTTTACAATTTTCTTTTACCAAAACGAGTTATCATGCATGAATACAAGTGGACATAGTATACATTACACCTCATCCTAAAGAAACTCCCCGGTGGGAAGCACCTGTTAGGAAAGAATACTAAGAGATGTCTGTTTGTGACAGATCAACCAGTTAGACATACTATGCATTTAGAAATTATTCAGGCACTTTTTCTTTTACATTTTCCAATTTATTATTCTTATGTTGAAATTGTTTAATTCATTCATCAATGTACAATGCCAGCTAGCAGCTTGCTAATGCTAATGCGCGAGGGAGGCACTAGCTTGCCCACAGTGGGCCATGCCTGAATGACTCAGACGATAACAATGTCTTCTGGGTCATCTTCTGTTTGTCCCTGTTCTTTTCACCAAGAAAGAAAAAAAAAATGCTAAGGCGGCTAGCTTGACCTCAGTGCAGCGTGCCGCCTCTGACTTATAATTAAAATACTTGTTTGGAAACTTGCCGTCTCCGATTTGTTGTGAAGGAACTCATTGTGACATAATAAGGAAGTAGTAAGGAACTACTCAGTAACAACTCTGATTTATCACTTAACTGACCAAAGCTCTACAACTGTAAAATCAACCACCATATGCTGATGGATTTCACTCTAGTTTACAATGCAGTTCTGTTGTAATGTGTTGTAAATTACCCTCAAAGACAATAAAATACTGCAAAACTTTGTGTAAAACCTGGTGCTCAAAATTCCCACACAGTGTGAGACAATGAAGTTACAAGTAGAATTTTGATCCTATATTTACACCTGAATCTAAATGGACAATGACCAATGTGCAGTCACAAAGCAGAGTCCAATCAATTACCATTTCTTGCTGGTTGTGGGGGCCTGGAAGGTGTGCTACTGGCCTGAGATGGGCTCTGGCATCCCAATGAAAACACAGTTATATTAAATTAAATAAACTTTCCATTGCAGGGAAACCAGGACATTTGTATCAAACATATGCCAACATATGTGTAAGGTCAGGAACAGATCGACCTGAGATCTAGAACATAGGATATTTGTGGCATAATTAATTTGAACTTTGACTACTTACAGGCAGCGTCGGACATGCAACCGAAGATTATTTCAACACGGGAACCACAGAACAGACTGCAGCCGCAGTAAATGAACTTGAACATAGCCACAATTTATAATACTGTACAGCCATGACACACTCGGACCTGCTTCCGGTCTCCTAAAGAGGCGGGGAGATGGAGACACCCACGTGACACAGATACAGGAACTAATCGCAAATGAAGTGTCCCGGTTTATCTACTGTCTCTGGTCATTCACGTGACATGACGCTGAGCCAACAGAACCACTCGCTCCGTTAACCACAGGGATTTATCACAAGTCGTTATCTTTAGCTAAGATATTAACTACGGCCGTTAATAGACTTTCTTTTTTCGAGCTGAACCGCTGAACACGCACAGGTGAGGAGTTTTATTTGGAGGTCGATGGGATGACTAGTGTTTAAAGAATGCGGCAATGTTATCTACTTTTCTTTTGGATCCACTTTATACCAACTTATACCAACCAACGTTATGTTTTGAGGGAGTTTTATTAACTACAAATGTCTGCAGACCTCGCAGCCATCTCATGGTGTCATTTAACCTAAATAGTGAAGGAAGAAAGAAGAAGAAGAAGCTGCTGCTGTTGTTGTTGTTAAACTAACCGCTGGTGATCTTAACTCCTGGGCTTCCCTTATGTCCAGCAGCCACGATGAATACGGCTTGAAGCACATGAGCAACCCTATGGCCAGCAGGAGGCAGAGAGCGGTGGATGATGGAGAGCGGCGTCTCATTGGACCTCCTGCCGCCACCACCACCAGTGGGGATCCCCTGGACCAAGATGCCTCCACACCGGGGTTCGTCTATGTGTTGGCATTTTTCTCCGCCCTGGGAGGATTCCTCTTCGGGTATGACACTGGGGTGGTCTCTGGGGCCATGCTGCTCCTGAAGAAGGAGATGAACCTGAACGCCCTCTGGCAGGAGCTGCTGGTTTCCAGTACGGTTGGGGCTGCCGCGCTCTCCGCCCTCAGTGGTGGCTTCCTGAACGGGTGGCTGGGGCGCAGGATTTGCATCCTCATGTCCAGCTTCATCTTCAGCATTGGTGGCATCATCTTGAGCGTCGCCCCGGACAAGGTGGTTCTACTTGTGGGCAGAATCACAGTTGGTTTGGGCATAGGTGCGTAGACATAGTAGAATATTAGAGTTATTTTAATACTTATTGTCTTTATCTATCCAGGTAAGGTGAGGTGTTTATGCTCCAGAATGACTCATTGGACTGTGTGATTATGTAACAGAATCAAATTCATTGTCTCAAGATTTTTTTCAGCCAGAATTTGGATGTATGAAGTCTGTGGGGAAATCTTTCTGTGCACGTCAAAATGAAACCACCCCCTTTTCCTCCTGTCAGGCATTGCCTCGATGACAGTTCCTGTATACATCGCTGAAGTTTCCCCGTCTCACCTGAGAGGTCAGCTGGTCACTATAAACACCCTCTTCATCACTGGTGGCCAGTTCATTGCCAGCCTGGTGGATGGAGCTTTCAGCTACCTGAGCCATGACGGCTGGAGGTACACGCTTGTTCCACATTTGTTGTCCCTCAGGTATCAATCCTGTGGATCAACTCTGGACGTCATAACTTGTGTTGTTGCCCCAAGATATGATTTAGGTTTTGTGTAATGACCCCTGAGGGTCTTCAGACCCCAACTTGAGAATCAGCAGCGGCAGATGTCCATTTTCTCCCGTTCACTCCCCTCCTTGTTCTCTCCATACTGCAGGTACATGTTGGGTCTGTCCGTTGTTCCAGCGCTGCTGCAGTTTGTTGGCTTCTTCTTCCTGCCTGAAAGCCCTCGCTGGCTTCTCCAAAAGGGCCGCAGCGAGGAGGCCCGTCAAGTTCTCAGCCGGATCAGAGGAGGCCTGACCGTTAACGAGGAGTATGACGCCATCAGAACCAGCATCGAGGAAGAGGAGAGAGAGGCGGGTGGAGGTGACAAATAAGAGCAGTGAAAACCATGATTTGTGACAAAAACAAAAGTGATAGCTAAACATTTAACAGAAATAAAGTTACACAAGTTGTTAAAGTTTTTTTTTTTTTTTTTTTTTTTTTTTTTTTTTTGGTTGTTTGTAGGAGGTCTCGTTATTTTGCGGATCCTCAGCCAAGGTCCGACTCGCAGGGCTCTCATCGTTGGCTGCGGCCTCCAGATGTTTCAGCAGCTGTCTGGGATAAACACCGTCATGTAGGTCATCTATTCATCTTGTCATAGCTCCCACATAATTAGCTCCCCCTCTGCCTGGTAACATGGCCGACTATTGTAAATTTTTGTTTATTTTCATCCAGTGTAACTGGAAAAACTTGTCATGGCTGAGTTGTTGTGCCTGAGTCGGGGGTGGGACTGTAAATGGATCTGGTTTCTCAGGTACTACAGTGCAACCATCCTGCAGATGGCGGGGGTGCGGGACGACAAACAGGCGATCTGGTTAGCCGCTGCAACCTCTGCTACCAACTTTGTGTTCACCCTGGTTGGAGTCTGGCTGGTGGAGAGAGTGGGCCGCAGGAAGCTGACCCTGGGCAGTCTCTTAGGTGTGTCATTTAGATCATGCTACACTGACAGCCTGACAACTGAGACGATATTGTATTTTCAGTTTTACATCACTGTAATTAAACAGACTTGTGATTAACTTTCAATTTTTTTTGTTACTTATTTTCCTCATTATTGGTCAATTAAAAAGTTATTTTGCATATAAATAGAATCATTTTTGCTTGTAGTAATTAGGTATTTTATTGAGACCAATGTTTCTCTTATTGTTTTGTGACATGTTGCCATGGTATTTAGTCATTGATTGTATTCAAAAGTGCATTAAACTAAACAGAAAAGAAAGATAGACTTATGGAGAATCTGTGCAGGCTTCATTTATTCATAATTTGTATCAGCTTTATTTAGGGTGCTCATTTTCTCTAATGCAGGTACTGGTCTGAGCCTGACTCTGTTGGCAGTTGGGTTCTTGCTATCCGCCCTGAACTCTCCGCCCGTCACCCTCCACCCGGTCGACGCTCAGAACTCGACCTGCAGACAGTACGGGTGAGAGATCATCAAGCAGCTTTTCTTCCACGAGAAAATGTATCATTCTGCTGTCACCATCACCGTCTTCTCTCTCCTTCTCCCTACGCATAACCTAGAGCTGAACACATTAAGTCCACACATCTTTTCTTTTCAAGGAGCTGTGGAAAGGCATTCTGGGAAATGTAGGAAAGCAAAGGGTTCCTGACACCATCTGTTAAGAACTACCTAAGTGCCTTTAATATCATAAACTGAAGATATAGAAATAGTGGCAGAATATTTGAATCAATTTTTTTAATAGACTTAACAGACTTCTCATTGTTCTTCCTGCTTCTATGCACGTTGTTTTCTACTGGCTGTAAAGCATCAGTGTGTGAGTTGCACGTGTGAGAGGTTTTACGATGAGCTCTATCCTCCAGGTCCTGTGAATTCTGCATGTTGGATCCGACCTGTGGATTCTGTTATCGTGAAAATGGGACCAAAGTGTACGACTCCTCCTGCGTCCCAGCCAATCAAGCGGCCACAGATCATGCGGCGTGGGGAAGGTGAGACTCAAAATTACTGCATGTTTGTGCGTGACAGTAAGCGGCGGACATATAGCTGAATATATAACTGCAGTTTTTTTGCTTTGTGCATGAAATATTATCAAAAATAGCAGCTATAATAAACAATGACAGGCATTTGAAAAGAGGACGCTACTGTGCCTTCAAAATAAAACAGAAATTCCTGCAAACCAGTTTTTTTTTTCTTCTATAGTTAATAATTAAGATTGAATTGAAAAATGCTCATTGGCAAAACCTGAAGACAAAGATGGGTTTCAATTTTTTGCTTTTTTTTTTTTTTTTAATCCAGATGTTCTAACCAGACAGAGGCAACTGACAGCCCAATTTGGGCCTACAACTACTGTCCCACGTCTTACTCCTGGATCGTCCTGGTCGGCCTCATCTTCTACCTCGCTTTCTTCGCTCCAGGTGTGAAATGACTTCCTCATTGTTTTTCAAATATCTACATATCTACAGTGGCTTCAGGAAGTATTCAGACCCCTTCACTCTATTGTGTTGTAGATGTCATTTTAAATCAGGAAAGCTAAACCAACAGTTATGTGTATAATTGTGAAGAATGCAATGTGTACTGTGCCGTCCTTGTGAATATTAGGTATGGGCCCAATGCCTTGGACAGTGAACTCGGAGATCTACCCTCTGTGGGCCCGCAGCACCGGAAACGCCTGCTCAGCCGGGGTCAACTGGATCTTCAACGTCTTGGTGTCTCTGACCTTCCTTCATGTCGCTGAGTTTCTGACCTATTATGGTAAGACTATCAGGAGGTCAGGGGATATTAAAAACACAGGATAATAATCTGCATTTACTCGTGAGGTGAGACCTTTTTTTTTTTTTTTATCAGAAAAGATGGAGTGGAGTCTGAGACAATTGCCTGACAATTGCTTTAGGACACTTCTGTTTTTATATTTTGTCCACTTTCCGTTTGCAGCCACGTCTTTGTATTGTTCCCATTTCAAACTCCACTTAAAGTCACCCTCAGCTCAGCTCTTCTTGTGTGATTAGTGTACAGATAAGTATCCAGATTTTCCAGTTTATTCTGCTCACTTTCTCTCAGCACTGTTATCTAATACATCTCTTATGTTCCTAAAAACAGAGATTTAAGAATATGCTGTCAGTGAAAGCATCTCCTGACACTTCAGAGGGTCTTTTGCTTTAGCCTGATCCTTTAATATTTTCACTCCTTATATAACCAGGTGTGGTCACTGTAAACACCATCTTATCTATAGCAACAGAAAAGTTGTAACGGAGATGAGAAGTCCTGGTTTGCATGTAAGAACAACGTGGAACTAAATCAAACCATGTACTGTATATGCAGGGTATAAAACAAAGTGCTTGATTCAGTCATTTAACACAAACTATACTTTCCCGGTGACGTTTGCTGATAGTTTAACTGTCCAAATACTATTTAAGGCCACTGTACATCCATTGTGATTTATCTCTTCTTTTTGCCATAGCTCAGAACCTAACAGTGAAAATTTACTCATGACTCTCTCTTCCAGGGGCGTTCTTCCTGTACACAGGCCTGGTGGTGCTGGGTCTCCTCTTTGTCCAGGGCTGCCTCCCAGAGACCCAGGGCCTGCAGCTGGAGGACATCGAGAACCTGTTCACCGGTCAGCTCTGCTCCTGTGGAGCCTCCACACACAGCGGCAATCGTCACATCCACTACATCCGGGTAAAAGGCAACAACCGCCTCCTCTCTGACAGTGATGCCTCAGACGTAGACTAGACTGGGAAGGTTTTCTTGGGGGTTCTCTGTCTTGTCTGTCTTGAGGATTGGGAAGACGCAGATGTGGGGAGGAAAGGTGATCATGTCGCTCTCTGGTGGCTGCAGTCAACTAAGGGAAAAAAAGGTGTGAACTCTCAAGTGAATGACTAAAACTGGCACTTTCCGTTGCTCTGGCGACTCTTTTGTAAGTTATCTCTGTTTTTCCTGTTCAAGCCATGTTCTGTCGCGCATTCCCCTCATGTCCCATCGCTCTCTCTGCCATCTTAAAAGGGAAAACTGAAGCTAGGTTCATTTGAATGAGTTTTTGATAATGTTGCTGAGATAACGAAAATCTCAAGAAAGTGTGTTCTTCAGTCTCTGTGCTGCAGCACTTTCAGTATTGAATAAAACAATGAGTAGGCTGAATTCTGTGCGCTCATATTCATCAAAACTCACTGGACGACATTGGAGCTTTTCAGAGTGAACAGGTGGAATATCTTCGGCCAAGTCGGTCCCCTCATCTCAGTCCAGTTGAGTTGCTTTCCACTTGATGAAGATAAGACTGAAGTCAGAAACAAGTAATAGCTGAAGGTGGCTGCAGTGAAGGCCAGTGAAACGCAAACACTTGTACTCTTTCAAGGAAGGTCTGTTTTCAACAAACAGATCTTCTGTATTTTAAGGACGTGAACTTTGGAGAATGATTTTTGTTTTTTCAGTGAGTTCAGAAACCAAGTGACCTGGTTGCTGACTCACCGCGTCCTCAGCCTTTTTTTCTGTAGTGTCAAGACAATTTAATTTCCAGATGAAAAACTCTTTGCAGGACTTAAATCAGACCATCCATCTTTTGTTGGCACTCAGACTACAAAACCTACACACCAGAAACAATGTGTGTGTGTGCTAACCTTAATCATCTGTAGTTTTAGAGTCATAGATTTCAGAATTAAAAGATCCACATTGTGGAGAAGAGACTATCATTGATTTCTGCCTTATTGGGACATTTTGTATATCTGTACATTCTGTAGAACTCTTTCCATACACATTCCTGTTAAAATCCACATTAGTGATTTGAATCTGTGCTTTTAACCCACTAAATCAGCTTATTGTGGGTTGCTGCTATTGTCTACACAGTGGGAGTGGGAGTGATTGCACTTTTAAAAACCAAAAAGGTGTCTTATTTCTAAAGATTTTTATGTTTTTATGATATTATGTCTGGTTGCGAGAATGAGTTGCTTAAATCTCCAATTTTCTAGTCAGGCTCTGAATTCAGCTCAGCACACTACGCAGCAGTGGGGTCAGACAGTGCCATAGCCTATATAACTGTAAGTACTGCATCAAGGTGCTAAGTGCACTGAGGACTTTCCTGCTATGATACAACAGTGTTAAATATTCCTTTTTAATGCTCAGTCTCATTTCCTTGTATCCACAGCTCAAATAATGGTGACCAGGTAGCCCTGAACAACATAACGCAGTGTTCACACTCCGACATCATAACCATTTAGTGTTCCTGCTAGCTTCTAAACACTGTACAAGATTTCTCTTTAAAGGTCTTTTTGATGCATTCTTCTTTTTTATTACACTGCAAGCTAGAAATTGCCATTTCTGTGCATCTTCTAAGTGTTCCTTTTAAATGGACGATCTATAATTTGGTTTCTTATAATATAGGATTCCTACATCTGGGAATGTGTGAACTGAATCGTTTTGTGATGTGTGAAATGTGTGAAACCTTTACGGGAACAAAAGATGCTCAGTGTTTTTAACTAGATATTTTGTGGTTACAGATCCATAATCCTTTTTGACTTAATGTCATATATAGAGGTGATATGACCCCAACACTAACATGTTTTTGCTTTGGAAAATGTCCAGTATAAATGTAGTGACATATTTAAAATACTGATGCTGCCATGTTGTACAACAGACTCAATTTACCCTCAGGGGAAAATTAACGTTAACAATATTCAAAGGGATGTTTCAGGTAAAATGATGTTTATAGGCCATAGATCCATTTTCAAATGACGTATGTGTCCATTTTGGTACTGTGTCATTTAGATTTTATACACAAAATGTTCATGCTGTATATAAAATAACTCTCCATGTTTCTTTGATCATGCACTTTTCATTAATATGATCTTTCAGAAATAAACATATTGAAGCAATCTAATCTGATCTAAAGTCAGTTGATGTTTTGTATATTATTGTGTGTATTAAATTAATTGATTAATAATATAGGTCCCATTTTAGCTGCACTGTGAGGTAATCAGCAGGATTTAAAGGGTCAGTTCACAAAAGTTTGACAAAATCTGTATTATTCTCTTGATTATCTGATTATTTATTTTGTCTGGAATATATCAAAGTAGCAAAATGTGCAAATTATAAGAATATTTGACATATTCAAATGTATGTATGTCAATTTATCTGACCAGCAGTCCAAAACCCAAAGATACTCAGTTTACTGTCCTACATGACAAAGAAAATCATCAATCAGATGTTAGAAGCTGGATCCAACAAAAATAAAAAAAATAAGTGATGTAGAACCAGGAGGAGACGGGTGAGAAGAAGACAGAAGAGGAAGTTTGGATTTGAAGAGTGAAGAAGAGAGTAGAAAGGAAGGAGTGAAAGAGAAAGGGAGCAAAGGAATGAAGGAGAGATGAGGAAATGAGGTGAAATCTTTTGCAGATGAAGAGAAAGAGGGATGCAAATATAAAACGGATCCACCAACAAATTTTACGAATAAAAACATATGTGAATACATTCAATTGATTTACATATAAATGAAAATCATTAGTGAATATCTTCCTAATATTTACAACTTTCAAACAAACATTTTTGAATCAAATTTCTTTCCTGTACGTTTGTGGATTTGCATTTTACACACACACAGTTTAGAGACAAACCTCCTGCCGGGCGGAACGAAAATTGACTTGTATCGGGAAAACAAGTGATCGCCTGCTGACGCCGCCATTTCCGCTTTTCAAATTAAAAGCACGCAGTCTTCTTGGAGCTGTTTTATTTCCTCAAATAATCGGTGACAAGTAACGTGAGCTAGTTTGTAAGATATGAAGTGACAGAAGCTGGTTAAGGTCTTTGATAGTATGGCTTTTGGTGTTGATATTTGTTTTGTTAAGAAATGACATACTATAATTTTATTGTTCATTGTTAATATACAGGCTAAGCTAACTTTAACTTGTAAACCGGAACCCGTTGCCAAGGTGACAGTAAACAGTCATGTTGCAGACTGAGATGATGAAAGCAGGGTTGACATTTAACCGAAAGTTGCTACCACTAGGTGGTACACCAACCACCAATAAACATAAAAGAAGGAGTAAAGAGACAGGCGGAGGCAAAATGCATCATGTCAGTCAATAATGTAGCTCAGGCTGAAGCTCAGGCTGAAGCTCAGGCTGAAGCTCAGGCTGAAGCTCAGGCTGAATCTCTCTGCTGCAGACTTGATAGGGATCGAAAATAAATGAAATCTAAAATGTGCTTCTTTGGACTCTAAAGCAGATGTCCCTCTCTGTAGTCACCACTCTGGTCTGGAGCAGTGTCCCGCCCGCAGCACCATCTGATTGGTTACACATCACAAGTAAATAGCCTATCACACTGAAGGCTACTGTGTGCACAGCCGGTCATAGACTAGAGCAGCTCCGGTTAGAGAGCGGAGCCCCGTGTCTGAAGTCAAGCCCGTTTTCCACTGGTCAAGAAACTCTGTAAGACCCGCTAACATCGGGCTTTTGTCGGTAATGGAAAAGGGTGCAATCGGCATTCATCATTCTATGATGCTATTCCTTAAAGAAATTTAATATCATTGGAGGAATTGTTCATCTGTTGGCCTAATATTCAGTTCAGAGCCTGAAGACATTTACTTGGCCTTGTTGTGGATCCCTGTCTGCTCAGTTAGAGCAGCACATATTATTATGGTCTGGATTTAAATGAAGATTTGACTTCTAAACATTAAATCTGTGAACTCTACTCCAGCATAGTGTAACAAAAATAGGTGTCAAGATTAGTGATACTGTTTATGCAAAATTCATTCCCCACCTAAGTCATGTAAATTCAAAATAGTCACATCAGACAATTTTTGCATCTTTGTATCTGACTGTAGTGAAAATGAGTCATTGTCAAAATCTGTCGTGTTGTGGTTTCAGAATGATGGAGACAGAGAGCAATTAGATTCAACATATGAACTTTCATGTTTTTCCCAAATGATGTACAAACAGCTTGATACAGTAAATAGTGCATGTAGCTGCTGTGAATGGGGAGAAAAATTCCCCATGTCCCCTGAATATTGACTGAAGTTGGGGCTAAGCACCGAATGTTTACAGCGTCCAGCTTGGCCCCTGTGTTGCCACAATAATGTCCAAGGAGAAACAAGCTGGTTTTACACTCAAAAATAAGTTGAGTTTCTATTTGCTTCATTGTGGATGCAGAAAGGCTCCTCACTCAGGCCCCCTGGTGGCACAGCATTTTAACCTCATATCAAGGGTGCCCGTCTTTGTAGTAGTTTCCCCACAAATTCACCTCCCTGCAGCCTGCCATTACTTTTTCTAGCCCCATGCACCAAAGATCTTTGAGAAAAAGGGTGTTTTTCAGTGAAATGTCCTGCAGTAGGTAAAGTCACACATTTAATCAAGGATTTATGGTCCCTTACTTGTTTCCTTCACTAGTCATTTAGTTTTTACCTGTACACTTCAGGAGACATGCTTGTGAAGACATAACTTACACCTACATGTTTTTGGTAGTCTCGTGTACAAATGGAAATTTTAGCCATGACAGAGGCACTTGTGGAAAGGTCAGGTCGTGAACCTGACTATATATAAACCCAGTTGTCAGTTGATTATTTACTCCTGGCTTAAACTAATGCAGTCTAATTCAATTCTGCAACAGTTGTGAAGGTTATAATGCTGGGTTATTGATGAAACTGTGTTAAAGAGGTACTGATTCAACTGCACGATCATTTCGGAGGCTGCAGTTTGCGTTGCTGTTGAGCTGCATTGCATTATACAGAAGTGTGTCTGTTTAGTCTACCCTCATTCATTCGAATGCGGTGACCAAAATACTAGAGACATGTCCTCATAACACAATGCAACTCAACAGCATCACAAACTGCATCCTCCAATATGATCATACAGTTGAAGGAACACCTCTCTATGTTCTGACGTCTGAGCATGTCAGGTGACTGGCTCCTGCTTTCGGATGTAACTGATGCAATCATCACAGGGAGGTGTCAGTGCACAAATGTATCAGCAAAACCTTTCTGCACCTTGTAATGTATTCAATGAAGAGGTGCTGCCATTTCAACACATGAATCATACTGATGCTTACATAATGAAACATTTCTGCCTCATACAAAAAGATCTTTGACTTGTACCATACAGTCTGTAGTCATACCTTTGTGGTACTGCTTCGGTTCTACTTGAAGTTGTGCAGCACTCATAGAGGAGCACATACTACTGAAAAATACTATAAAGTGTCAACAATATATAAAGAAGGGTAACATCTTAAAATCACTAGAATATTTGGCTACAGCTGCGGCTAATTACGGATTTACTGATCCAACTTTTTCTCTCCCAATTCCTCAACTCATGGTATCGGTCAATACGGAGTAGCAGAGTATCAATCCAAGGTATCCAAGTATCATGTGAGGTAAAATGAGGCAAGGGCTTGCTGTGACAATAAAAACTGAGTCAGCAGCTCTGTGACCTTACTGTAATTACTAAAACAGAAATACTGAAGAAACTGTACTTAATGTTGATCGGTCATATCTGGCTGATATTCAATCCACTAACAATAAGGTCAGTAACGGCCCAATACTGATCCAATGGACCTACAGCTGACATGAGTTTATTTGACAATTTACTCATTCAACTACATTACAATAAATATGAAGCAGGTCTTTTCAGTTATCCAGCTGATCTTCTGTAGTACGGGCACCCAAACTAATAAATATTCAAAAAAACAAAAATAATATATATTTAATATGTAAAAGTCAACACTTGTATGAAGACTCACTGTGAAGAGATAAATAAAAGACTGGGAAAAGAATTACCCAAAGAGAATGATATGGAGACAAAGCCACACCATTAAGAAAAAAGTCCAGGTTTTATTGTGTATCGTGGCTGTAGTCCATGTTAACTGCCAGATGTGTGTGTGAGAGAGAGAGAGAGAGATAGAGAGATAGAGAGAGTGAGAGAGATAGAGAAAAACTTATGAAAGATCAGAGCCAATCACACAGCAAGGTGAAACTATGTCCTCCATGTTCTTTGGTTTGCAAGAGCAAAACCCGACATGAGAATGAATCATGGTAAAGTTAACAATCGTGTAAAGGGAGATAAAACTTAGTTAAACACACTTAGGCAAGCTAAAGTCAACAACACAAGTGGCATCTAAAAACAAATTACAACACAAGTCGGAACTGAGGAAGCTGACTCTGGACCTGAACATGGATCTACAAGCCAGTCAACAATAGTGCTAACAGAACTGAGTTGACAGCAGTGGAGTCAACGTTAGAGAAGAATGGGTTAGAATAGAGTAAAGAAGGGTGGAGAGCAGAGCAGAGTATGAGTTAATGGCGTCGGTCAGCTGTTTTGTCTTCCTGGTGGCTTGAGTGTAGATATTGTAATGAGGGGCTCCCAGCGTCATGCAGATCAGCGGAGTGGCAGACAGGGGCGTCTGATTGGTCGGCCGGCTCTCAGCAAAGAAACACATCGCAGTTCTACTGGCTGGGGTGGTTTGAAAACCCACCTGGATGAGGTTCAGTGATTGACATCTAGAATCCGGTGTTTGCTTGTTTGTCAAACAGGCGTAAATGAGACAGCAGGAGGGAGGGATGAGTGTTCTCTCTTCTCTCCATCCTCAACTCCTCCCTCCCCTCCCTCCATACTTTACACGGTGCCCTTCACTATGGCTGCCCCTGCCCACCAGAATAAGGTAAGGGCTTAGCCGAAGTTGTGAATGGCCAGCCTGAACATGTCATTGGTGCACACCCATGCATCGTTAATGTTCTTGAGGATGAAACTCTGATGGAAACCCATGATGGGGTCGTCGTCTGCCTACAGACGCACACAAACAAAGAAGAGGTTCAGGACAAAGGACATGCTGGAGATACAGGCTGATCATCACATGGACACTAAAGGAACCTAAATAATGTGTCTGTTTCCTAATGTTTTTCTGCACATTTTCTATCTGACTCAGTAAAAGAGAGAGGAGGAGGAAACAGTTATAGGAGATAATACCAACTGCAAACACTATGGAGAAGAATGTCACTTGCAAGTCATGTTGCTGCATATAACAGTTTCCAATACACTCAGTTGTATTAGGTACACTTACCTCAAACTAATGTAGCCTAAAAAAACAACAGCCCTACATACATCGTCCCTAAATGGAGGTTATAATCTTCAGTTTGTGGTGAAATTGTTGGTCATTTTAGAGGATGTAATTTGTGGTGCTGTTGTTCTATTTTGCATCACATAGAGAGATGTCTCTGTTATTTGGCCTATCCTTCTCAATGATCTAAACGGAGATGAAAAAAATAATAGAAACACCTGTCAGTATAATGCAATATAGTTCATCAGCACCACAAATTACAGCTTCTAAAAAACAAAAAACAAAAAACCCCTTTCAACACAAACGGGACATTATAACCCTCATTGAAGTAGGATTTTTTATTTATGTATTTATTTTTTGCAGGACTGTTGTTTTAACTGCATGTACCTAATAAAATGGTACATCACTGGGTATTTGTGTAGTTTTTATAACCAAGAAAATGATCAAATCACTTTTAACAGTAACTGAGATTCTGGGAACATGAGGAGTTGGTGTGACTCTGCTAGTCACTGTTGTACCAAGCATTCACCACCTGTGTGTAGATGGACATTATCTCAGATGTGTTGAAGAGTCAGAAGCACTAAACTGAAAGGTCCTTTTCTGGGCATGTCAGCCACCCGAGTGTGAAGATATATCTGGAATAATTTTTTTCGTTATATACATAGACTGAAAATTTCATGACAGTATACCAAATGTTGCTTGCTCATAAATTCTACTTTTACAGTGCATTCAGAAGGTATTCAGACCCCTTCAAGTTGTTCATTTTCTGAATGAACTGTAAATGAAAGAAGAGTAATTAGATCCTCATAAGATAATTTGATGGTACAGGACCTGAAATTGTTTGAAAGCCAGGTACATATATGAATAACCTCATTCACTTTAGAAGTCAATGTGTAGCAGTGAATGGCAGTAAAACAGCTGACTCTGAATAAGGCGTGAATGGTAGTGCTACTTAATAATAATAATAATAATGATAATAATAGTTTAGATTTTATAGCGCCTTTCAAGGTACCCAAGGCTGGTTTACTTACTTTTAGCTGTCCTACAACCATACTCAAGATGCAGCAGTCTGGAGTTGGCTGGTGGTCTTGCGCTGTTATACTATGCGCTATTTTTGTGAAGGGGAGACTCTGGCACAAACAAGAAAAAATACACAAATAAAAGGTTAATACAGGTGTATCAGACACAGAGAATACAAGTTCAAAAAGAAATCAAAACATGTATCCAAGATCCATCCCATTTAATCTTTAACTATTCATTCAATCATTAAAACTTCAGAGAAGCAGTATAGTATAACTGTCAGGCATACATGCACACACTTGTGAAGTCTGATAACTGACTGCTGTCTGTATACACAGATATAACAGTTATAGGTTAGGGGCCACCCCACCACCTGTTACACGTTACCTCAGTATATAGTAATAAGTTACCAAACAAACTCACAGAAAGTTTCTCAACAATTGCTCTTTTTCCCTGGAACTGTTGTCCTTCCCACGTAAGGCATGATGCATCAATCTGTGTGGGGCAGAAACAGAGAGGGCTTATTACCACACTTATTCATGACCATGTTCTGTACTTTTTCCCCCAGTTACACCGTGGATAAAAGGCCTAATGTTTAGTCAGGTGGCTTATTTAATCAGCAAAGCTTTCTAGTCTGCCACTAATGCTTATTGCCATTAATCTGCTGATTGTTTTGTCTAGAAAATGTCGAAAATCATTACAATTTCTCAGAGCCCAAGATTGCTTGTTTTGTCTGACCAACAGTCTGAAACACAAAGATTCAGTTTACTACAGCCAGAAAATGTAGTGATTGATGAGAGGTGCACAAAAAAAGTAAAAAAAACAAAAAACAAAAAAAAAAAAACAAACAAACATTGGAAACATCCACCAAGTTGTTTGCTGTCATTGTTCTAGGTTAGCTAGCCATCCTCTAATTTGCACAGGCTCACACTTGGACTGGAAAACCCAAACCCACTAACAACTGCTCTGGAGCAAGTTAACTCCAGATCATCAGATCAAAACCTGCCCACAGTCACTGTCTAATCAGATAACTGGAAAAACTAAGTCATCATTCTACAGAATCCCAACAGGGACAAGTTTACAATAAACAAGACAAGTAAGATATTCTTTACATTGTATATATCAGTTTCTGCTGTCAAACCAAATTGTGTTTCAGCTCATATCAAATTAAGGACTTTATTCATGGGTCTGACGATAGTGTTTGTGTTTGAGTTAAATGAACCACTTGTTAACCTACTTTGTGATACAAGTTAGGACAGCCAATGTAAGGTTCAGTGAAGGTAGATAACCCCAAGAGAGCCAGATTAAGTTGAACTCACTTTGTGATTCAGGTCCCTGGACCAGTGTGTTTGTACTTGATAATAGTCAAGTGTTGATTCAAATACCTAATTTACTTGGGTTGTGCTGTGAAAACAATGCAACAAATGCAAAAAAAAAAAGTTTTTTATGTTATACAATGTTAATAACAACTGACCACTGACATGGCCAAGTCCAAATGAATGAAACTGCTTAAAAATGGCATCCACTGCTGAGGTTAAACATCTTGTAAATAAACAAAAGCACACTCACATATATGGATCCAAGTTGTGTTCTGTCCGAATCAAACATCTGGTAGTAGTGCTGCACGAAGCTGGATCCTATCTGCTCCCACAGAGGCTGGTCCACCATCCTGAATCACCCTGCAACACACACTGAGAAGATGGAGAGATGGGAGGGGAGCCAGAAAAAAAAAAAAGGGAATACATGTATGAAAATGATCATATGCTACAGCCTTCCCAGTCACCAGATCTCAACCCATCTGAAAGGCCTATGAGAAAAACAGACCAAAAGAAAAACATATACACCACCTACATCACAAAGATTTCACATCACATATGTTCTTTGCATTCACACTGTTCACTTATTTTAGGTAGAACTTAACTGGCTGACCACACTTAAAAAAAAAAAAACAACACAAAACACGGACAGAGTTACTGTACATTAAAAAGCTTATGAATACCACTACACTGGAAAAGAAAAACATTAAGACAACTTTAACTAAAATGGCCCAGGCGACTTTTGCTGAGCACGCCGTAACATTCTCTCCGCTTGGGTGACAGTGACAGCACAAGTCATGTGCTTCCACATTACGATACACTGTTGTTACTGGAACAATCTGGGAGCTCGGAAAATTAGCAGTGAAGTCGAAGCAGCATACCACAAATACCGCTGGACATAAGCACTTCTAGGTCCGAGTGAATATAGTTAGGGCTAGAGAGGTAGCGACATATGCGTACTGAGTTACGTTAATAAATGGAAAAGCTCATTTATGGCTAGTTAACGCTAGCTAACTAGCTACTACTAGCTTGTGAGCTGTCTTGTTTGCTAACGTTAACTCAGCCTGCGTTGGCAAAGACAGTTCATATACCTAGCATGCCTCCCCGACAGCTAATGATAGACGTCAGATAAATTATATTTCCAAACGTTAGCTAACTGACTGGCTGGCTGGCGCTGGCCTTGTCACTGGTTGCTAAAAATACCCCGTCTTTTCCAAGTGTTGATGCCTCCTCCGGGCCCGCGCACACAGCTCTGGAACCCCGGGGCAGCTACCCTACATAGGCGTGCCCAACGTTAGCCCTAAACCTGACAGGAGCAGCCAATTTAACTACTTATACTCCCTTGTGCTTGTTCAAATGTCAGGCTAAACTAGCGCTTTTTGTTTTCGCACATGTTTCCATTCACTATTCCCTAAAAGGATTTCTTAAAAATAAGTAATAAAAACTTACCTCTAACCAACGCCGAGGCCGGCTGCACGATCGCAAAGTGCAGTGTCTGCTCCGCTACGAGGGCACGTACGATGGCGCCGTAATTGGCTTGGTGGATTGTGGGGATTGTAGTCTTTATATACAGTACAAAAAAATTTCAATAGTTTTGTGATATGTTCGTAGTTTGTTTGTTGTACTCAAAGACTGCTAAAACTACTACATACTGAAGACAAAACTAACCAAAGGAAACGTGCAGGTAAGTGCCAGTTTGCAATTGAAACCGTGGCAGAAATTAACTAAGTACATTTATTCAGTTTCTGCACTTCAGGCAACACTTGTAATTTATTATATTCATTTATTATCATTATTTATTATGTCCATGTTATGCTTCTTTATATATCTACTTCACCACATTTCAGAGGGAAATGTTGTAACTCCTGTACATTTATTTTCTTGCAGAAGGACAAACAATTCGAAGAATCATATATAGTTTCCTCCAGAATTGAGGCCAAACAGTTCATTTGGTTTCATCAGACCATAGAATCTTGTTTTTCACAGTCAGAGAGACCCTTAAGTGCTTTTTTGCAAACTTTTACTGAGGAGAGGTTTCTGTCACTCTGCCATAAAGCCCAGATCTGGAGCTCAGCCAGACTGACCACCGGGTTCTTGGTCACCCCTCTTACCAACGCCTGTCTCTCCTGATTGCTCAGTTTGGCCAGGCAACCAACTCTAGGGAGAGTCCCAGTTGTTCCAAGCTTCTTCCATTTAAGAAATTGGAGGCTCCAGACTGAGGCAGCACTGTTCTGCCCTGTGGTCCTCCTCAGCATTGACTACACAGGTCCTGTTGTGCTGTCACTCCCGTGAGAAGCTTTTGCTCATGTTGTGTCATGCATAAATATGTGTTGAATTGATTTTTGGCTACTTTAATACAAGAGCAGGAATTCAGATTTTAATTTCTTTATTTCAGTAGACAGAGTTTTCCTCGAGCCAGTAACAGTTACCTTGTGCCGTATGTGTTCTTCCATTTTTTGATGTCACTTCAGGGCTGCTGGACATACAGTGTGTGTATTCCACAGAGGGCTTTCTACCTAAACCTTTGGCTTCTGCTTAAAGAGGCTGGTGAGAGCATGCCTAAAGCATTCTGGTATAAGTGAGTTGCATCTCGGCAAACTCCCCAAACAGGTCCTTGATTGGCCCTGGAGTTCTATATCAACTTCTTCACATTGCTCATACAATGTCAATGTGTCATACAGACATCATTTGTCTGTGTACGGGCACATGTGGTTCATGTCATTGGATGTGTTGGAGGAGTCCCAGATGACTACTCTGTATTTCTTTGACTCAATCTGTCCACTGTGCAGCAACAAAGTACTTCAGAAAATACAGCTATGGTGACTTTTACTGTGGAGAGTTTGAGCTACTGTGAAGAAAATGTTTCATAAATGTTAGTAGGTGCTGAGTAAGCTGATTTCTTGAGCAACTTTAAAAAGAAAAAGGAGAGCATTTTCAAACATGACGTCAACAGTAAAATTGGCATTTACAGATTACTGTAAATGTCTGGAAGGAGTTTATTTGGGGGGGTCACTTTATCAGTAACAGTACATTCATTAATCTCTGTCTCCAGACCAGCATGTGTACTTCAAGGGCACTGAGCCTGGTAGGATCCCTTACTTTCCTCATGCAGATACAGCCATAAACAGTACACCATCTGCTCTGCTATAAGTGCTGTAATTACACTAAACATAAATACTAACTCCAGTAAAAATGTGGTTTGCCTTTCACAGACACATATACAATATACAGGCTGTGATTGAATGTATAGCTGTGGGTATCAGGTAAAATAAAATTTCATGAAAAGTGACAAATACGTGAAAATTAAAGGTTCCCTGTGGAGATTTTTTTATCCATAGTAGCGCTATGGCGTAGTTATGTCTAGGTCCAGTTTAATTTTTCCCATGCATGCACACAAGGATACACATGCTTGCGCACTTGCACACAGGTAATGCAATACACAGTTCTCCCAACGGTTTCACACTATTCCAGTGATCTACAGGTGTCTCTAACACACTCAGAAATGCAGTAAGTAAAGGCAAGGGAGAAGATGGCTGCAAGCTAGTAAACATGGATGTAAACAATGCAAGATTTTATTACAATACAAGATTTTTACTACCAAAAATAATTTATTTATAGTTAATTATATTTTGATAAGCTGCATTTGGCAGGGTGAAATTAAACCATTCTACGGGGCTCACATAATAGATTCTTTTCGATTTTGTTTGGCAAGATTTGGAGTTCTGGTTCCATTACAATGGAAGTGAATGGCATTTGTTTTATTTTAAGTCACTGATAAAAGACATTTGTACTCAAATTACTGTACATACATTTGCAGTTATTCAAATATCAGGAACTGTTGCAAATGTGTTGTGAGGACACTAAACAGTTTGTAATTCAAGAATTAATGTTCCATTCATTTTTTTCGTCCAAGTCCTAAGCTAGCAAGCTAGCCTACCTTCTTAATTAACAATGAAATTAATACTACGGTGTTATATCAGCTGCTGGCCGGAAAATAATTTGATCCAGCGTTTTCCTCTGATTGGTCAAGAGCTGGAGGTAAGGCTGCCACACCAGATTCTGCAGGCTGTTGGAGCATTAAAGTCAAAAGAGCAAAATTTTAGAAAAGGAGAACAAACAAACTAAATTTTCACATCTGTAAAGACATAAAAAATATTTAACATTTCTTCACTAAAATGGCCACATTAGTTTAGGTGGTCACAATTACTGAACAACTAAGCTTAATAAAATGAGTTCACATCTTCATGTACCTTGTGGGCTAGGAGTCACATTTTGTGAATTGGATCATGTAACATCAGACTGAAATTGTGAAACGGTACGTACCAGGCTGTTAAGTCTCTGGGAGGAGATGATGTCATCGCTTCTGTCTGGTTCACTTTGAGCCGAGGTCACAAGTACATCTACTTCCTCATCTGACTTCAGAGGGAACTCTGCCCTAAACATACCCACATGTACACAAACAACTGTCATTTGACATATAAACAGATAGAGCAATAGAGAACAACTATTCTATTTTCTTTTTATTTGTCAAGTTTTTACTTATTTGAATTGAGGCTCTAACCGTAGTGAACATTGTATGTTGTACAGATTGTGAAGCTCTTTAAGGCAAATTTATGATTTTGGACTTGACTACAATTGTGTGTGTCCTTTTTTTGTGCATTTTTATATGTCACCTAAATTCCTGGATAGTGGGTGTGCCGCCCTCAAGGGTACCAGAGTGGATCGGCTCTTTTAGCTGGCTGGACTGAATTTGGTTTTGCCCTTGAGACACATTTGCATCCATCTGAAAAACAACGAACAGCATGTTAAGCAGATAGCTTAACATTTCATAACATATGTTTAGCATTTATAGAGTTAGATGACAAGATCAACGCCACTCTCATGTCTGTCCGTTCTATGTGAAGCTAGAGCCAGGGGATGGTTAGCTTAGGGGGAAACAGCTAGCATGGATCAGTCTGAGGGTTAAAATAAATCTGCCTACAAGCTAATTAACACTAAGCTAAGCTTAGCTAACCTGCTGCTGGATCCATCTTCATACTGAACGGACAGATATGTGAGCGGTATTGATCTTTTCATATAACACAAGGCAAGACAGCAAATAAGCAACTATTCCTTTATACAGGGTTAACTTACTGAAACAAATCTGTGAACATACACTAATCTATTTAGGGTCAAATATTAAGGGTCTTTTGGGTCTCTGTGGTTATTCACACCTGATCACCTCTACCATACAAAATCACCACAACATATTGTGCTCACTTATGAAGCCATGGGTGTAACGGACTGTACCTGCACAGTGGTGGAGTCATGTGTCTCAGACTGCATGCTGCCTCTTTTATGGAGATCAAGCAGGGTGTCATACTCAATCTTCATCTGATCAAAATCACCCTGCAGTGTCTTCAACTGGACAACCGAAATAAATGCAAAGATAGGACTATGGTGAAGATTTTACATTTGAAGTTTTAGGTTTTAAATACTAAATTCTGTCAATGTGTGAGTGCACAGTATGTACAGTATATCTGTCTGTATGAGCCACCTGCAGGAATGTCTGCTTATGCGTTTGTTCCAGGGTATCCCAGTTGCGTTGTGGCACAACATCCCAGTACTCTGCCTTCATCCTGTTAAGCTCCTCCTGGGCTTTAGTCAGGTCTCTCCGACACACCTTCAGAGCAAGCTGCAGCTCCACTGGGTCCTTGGCCTCTTCTTTCAAAATGGAAACAAATCTCAAAACAAAATACACTTGTTTTTGGATATTTATATTCAGATATTTGCTCTCTTATTGATAAATTACTAATGTAAAAGCTATCATTCAATTTTGATGCAGTGAGCAAGGTTCTAAAGGGGGTGTACAGAAGAAAACACAAATGACCTGTGATGTGATTTCCTGCTTGGGTTCACCTGTGTTTTCATCTGCAGGGTGCTCCTCCTTCACAGAAGCTCTTGTTAGGTCACTGAGCTGCCAGATCAACAACTTGCGAGCGTCACGCTCCTCTCGGTACTGCAGATACTGGTTGGACAGTTCATACTGCAGGCGTTCTACCTGGAGATGAATGGAGGAAAGTGGGGTGACTGACACAAGACAATGATAATCTACCACCAACCTTATGGTTGATCTGAACTGAACTTCAAACAAAACATGCTCGAATAAAGGGATTTCTAACACTGAACAACATTTTTCATACACATGTATGAGATCAGGACAGCACATAAAATAAATATTGGAAAAACTGGAATCCATATGGGAATTAATCACACTAAGTTAATAGTTAAGTAAATTATAAATAGTGGTTAGAACACCACTTTATAAGTATGGCATGTACCACTGCCTGCATGGCCTTTTCTTTTTCCCTCATGGCCTCAATGGCCTTCTGCAGTTGCTGCTTCTCCCTTTTCAAGGCTCCAATCTCAGCTTGCTCCACTCCCCAGAGAGCTTGAATCTTCCTGTCACATTCCTCTGTCACCAGCCTCAGATGGGATCGCAGTGGTTCCAGTTCTCGGATTTGATCCTGCTGATATGCTGAACATATGTATAATGCATAATAAAACATCTATTATTAAACTATAGGGCTGAAATGATTATCTATTACATTTCTGACAGGTGATTTACTAAGTCCTTTAGGCTTCTCCTACTCAAAGATCTGTTTTATTTTTCTCATTCAGTATAATTGTAAATCGAATCCTTGAGGGTCAAAATAAGCACTATTGAATAACTGAATAAAAACATTATAGATTGATCACTAATAAAAACACTATTAGAAATTTTGGTTGTATGTTGTATGTAATCACTATACTTGCTAAGTTAAATTCTAGTTTAATCTTGCAAGACTATGTTTTTCCTAGTTGTTTGTTTGTTTATTATATGCAAGATATATCAAAAACTTGTTTATAAATTTCAATGGAATTTAGTCAAACTTGAATCTTAAAATGGCCAGACTGCTGTTTTTTTAAAATGTTTTTTTGCAATTTTCTCAAGAACTACTGCATTTTAAATGAAAAATGTTTCCCATGATCGTCTGTCACTTTGTATTTTGAAGCAGATTAAAAAATGTTCAATATTTTTTAATTATTAAAATAACAAATTAGACAATTATTTAACCTGTTTCTGACTACGTCCTCGTATTATTAGTTTAACAGCTCCAGTTTTACAATGTTTTAGGTTTTTATCTGTGCAATTTAGATTGTAGCAAACTACATTCTCTTGTTTACAACTTTATTTAAAAAAACAAAAAACCAACAAAAACAGGGGCATTTCTTTGAGGGTCTGACCTAAAGTGTTTTCATATTCCTTTTTGATGGCAGAGAGAAGGGGTTGGTAGGTTTTGAACTCTTTGATGAAATGACCAAAGACATCACGGTAGACCTGTGGCCAAAGCAGATGAAGGTGTGTATTAAAAACAAACAAACAAAATGTCCAAACATGGATATAGGTATGGTGCTTTTTTCTGGTTTTATTGTGAAATTAAACAACAACACCTGTAGCTTCAGTTCTTGGAATTTTGGCTCATGGGGACTGATATTATGCAGCTCCTTGTTCACATATCTCTCCAGGTGCACCAGCAGTTGGGGTTTTCTCCCCAGGCCTGCATAAATGTAACTACTTCCTGTTGAGCGCAACTAACAGGGCACAGTTTAACACACACACACAAACACAACGACAGACACACACACACACACACACACACACACACACACACACACACACACACACACACAAAAGGCAAAACCAGTGCTCAACTTTGTTTTGACAGTGGAAAAGCCAACCACTAAGGGGGGACATACAGTAACATAAAGTAAGCTTACCAGGAAACCATCACAGGCTTGATGAACCTGTTGCTGGTTTGCTTGTCTCGCTGCAGATGGCTGGACTGCACTTTCTTCTTCTTGTCCTTCCTCTGACGTCTGGATAGTGTCGTTTTGAACACTCTGGTCATATGTAAGCCTAAAATAAACAAGAACAGAACTAGTTAGGTTGATCATTGTAATTTAACTAGCTCGTTATGCTAACCACTATATGTAGGATACTTATAATAATACAATGGTTACAATATTTTAGATAGCATTCGCTTTATCACTTGCCTTTGTCTTTGTGACGGCGTTAAAGGTGGAAATTTAATATCTTTGTGTGGTGACATCTCGATTATATGAAAGATAAATAATAACATAACAAGCTGTTGCTCTTTTTTAAGTTGGGTTTGGCATCACAGGTCTCAGCATTGTAGCAGGGTTTCCATGGTAACGATGACGACGCAACAAGACCCACAGAGTGGACCGCGGCGCGCCTAACTTGTTTTCAAAATGTGTAAGATGAAAACTTTCTTCTTAAATAGAAAATAGACACTCTCTAACCACGGGAAAGTATAGTTCTTTTTTTTATTTAGTTATGGTGAGTTAGTAATCTATTTTTAACTATGTATAAACCCTTAACTCTGAGTAGGAACAATAACAAATATATGATAATACACAATCAAACGGCTATCCTTTATAAATATCACACAAAAACTGCAACTTACAGGAATTACAATGTAATATGAAACTAGTAGAACAGAAGATGAGAAAAACACCAAATGCTAAACAATTGTTTGAATAGAGACTGTGTCTCTAGAAATAGGCACCTTTTGCAAATATCACACATTTCGTTCTGGAAATAATGGGGATAACAAGCCTGTCAATTCATTTTCATCAGATATGTATGTTTCACTTTCTCTCGTGCATGTGACACGTATGGATAAAACAAGAGATGGGGATTAAATTATATAATGTTAGAAAAAAATAATAAAATAAAATAAATAACACTGTCTATAAATTTAACAGCTGGAAAAACTACATTTCCTAGCCATCTTTCCCAGTGGATGCCCTAAACCAGGGTCATCGCAGTGGAGCTGTGTAGTCATTTCTAGAGGCATTAGCATAAAAGCGAGCGTGCAGCTGAACTACAGTACCCACACGGCACTGTTCCAGCCTACAGTACATTCTGCTGCTTATCCGGGGATGTCACACCGCTGCTATTTTCTCCCCTCAGTCCCTCTCACTCTCAGCCTACAGCTCCAGCGGACTGACACTGGGCTTTGGATAGAAAGAAACGAAGAATAAGATACAAAACAGAGGCCAAAATGGCAGAGCTTGGAGCGGGAAGCCTGCCGTTAGGGGATCCTGCTTTTAATTACCAGGAACACGAGCTGAACGAGAGGCTGAAACGACTCTACCCGGCTGTGAACGAGGACGAGACCCCTTTACCCCGATCCTGGAGCCCCAAGGATAAATACAGCTATATCGGGCTGTCACAGAACAACCTGCGGGTCCATTATAAAGGTTAGAAAGCTGGGTCAGACCTTATGGGTATGAACAAGCAGTCACAGCATCAGAGGGTCTCAGCTCATATCTGTCACTGTTGTTACGGGGAGGGGGGGTCTCTTTTTCAGTCGCACACACGCACACACAACACACACTCGCACACACACACGGTATGCGATTATGTTGACTGTGTATGTGTGTGTGCAGTCCTGGTAAATCTAGTCTGAGCTGCTTCTCCTCTCCTATAACCTTGCTTTGTTGCACAAATGAGCAGAGGAATGCCTAAATGAGTGACAGTGAACTCGCTAACCCTGACAGTTGGTCTTATTACCACCACACAGAAATTCACCTTCAACAGCACGGCTCCCTTTTGTTTATTTACCGTTTATGACCGTTACCGTTTATTTGTTTTGAGTAAACTGACTGTGCATCTGACGTTCTACCTAGTTTGTACTGGAATAGGACATTGGCAGCAATAACGACGCAGACATGGGTTTGCCAATAAGCTAACTAATGGTATTTAACAAACAAGAGCAAGCTAACAGCAAGCTATCTCTTAAGCAAGTACAGTAGTTAGCCGTGTGGCTAACAAGCTAACGTTAGCTAACCTAGCTGTTCCTTGTGACTGATATTGTATTGAAAACTGTGATAAGCTGGCGTGAAGACGAACACAAGCCAAACTTGTTAACCATTTACAATGTAGTGCTGAGTGTAACGCTGCAGTTGTTTAGTTTTTGACCACAGCAAGCACCAAAATAGAATAAAAATGGCATTGTTGTGTTTTCTCGCGTGATTTCAGTGGCAGTGTTCTAGAAGTCTTTTCCAGAATTCGTAAATCATTTTTTCCAGTCTGGAAGCAACCGGTCCAGCTCCATTCAGATCTGTATGTGCCCTGAGCACAACAACAGTCTCATGTCCAACCTCCAGCAGGCAGCCAGCTTGTTTTCAACAGCTGCTGTGAGTGAGGAGGCCTCTGCGCATTGCATTAGGCCAGATGTAGCGATCTTAATAAATCTCTAGTATCGGAAGACTCTGGCAATTTCACAATAACAGCAACTTTGCTCATCAGACTGCGCAGTCAGTTACTTATTCAGTTGGCTAGAAACTGTCACTATGGTATACAAGTCCTGTCAGATGGATTATTTTAGCATCCAGCTCCCTAAATCAAAACAAAGTGACATCTGTGTGAAGTCCTGTTCAGTTATTTTTCGTCAGGCGACACGTCAGGACAGCCCCGCAGGCAAGCTAGTCCAGCATCTCAGGCTATGAAAAATCTCCACAGAGGCATTACAAGGCCACTTTGGGCCCTGTTGGCTGTTTACATCAGTGAAACATGCAGAGGATGAGAGGATACAGGCAGGCTGTGTAACCCATTTTGAAAGGCTTATTTGGCACATACGTAGTAATGGTCCTGCTGTTTGTGAATAACTGGGAAGCTCTATTATTTGTTTAAATCGAGACACACTGGCAGATAGCCTGATATAACACACAGATTATTTAATGCATAACTGATTAGGATAATGGTGTTGATAATGAACAATGGTTTAATTTGATAGCCCACACACTCTGCTTTTAGTGATGTACATGTACATAATGCATATTTTTGTGGATATTGTGCTCCATGTTGATTTTCTTTCTGTGTGACAAAATAGTCATGGCAAAGGTTGTTCCATCTTACCTAACATTTTAATCAGTGTTATTGAGATCCTTGCATTCTGTCTAGAAATACTTATGCACTTGTCACAGCTGTGAGATTGGCACAAATTGATTAATGGCCCCATGTATGTCTTAAGATAAGACATGCCATCTCATGTTGAGTTTATGTAGAGCATTGAGTCTTTATGTCTACAAAAATGGCACAGATTAAGTGACACTGCACAATTGTTCAGGGATGACAATATAAGTAGGTCTATTCTGTAGTGTGTAGGACAATTTTCTGCTCCTGGTTGTTCTAGCTCCCGCTCTGTTCCTTCACCCTTGGGGTTTGGATGCTATTTTGACCAGTGTGCCAATTTTCTCTGTTCAAGGCCACACAGTGTCTACCTAGTCCTGTTGTACACAGCCACATATTAATCTACCCAGTCTAAACAGGTAGATATATAAATAAACACTGCAATACATAATCAAACATTTTGACATAGTGTCTATGAATACACCAGTTGAGTGATGTCATTTTTTTTACTAAAACCTCAGAATTCAGGTCATTTAAGGAATCTTCTGCTTTATTCTGATGCAGAGATGATTTCATTGGTCTTTTAATAGGCCTTAAGGATCGATAAATGGGAAGACAGATACAGCTGCTTGACAGGTAGGGCTATATATAGGGAGGAAAACATTCTTTATGCAGCATACCCTGTAGTGTTGTTTGTGCTGTTATAGATTGTCTAGCATCCGTTGCATCTTTTGATTGTCCTCCAGGATGACTAAGATTATTGAGGACTTTGTGAGCATCAAAACAAATAACTCATGAAAGAGCATGAATGAAAATCCAAATAAGTTTCCTGAGCATTTATGTTGGAGAAACATACTTTAAATCTGTTGTTAAATCTGCCAGGTCTGTCACTTTTAATAATGATCATCCATCTATCCATATACTATATATCTATTGATTAAGTTAGTACAGATTTATTTATAAAACATTTTTGAGTCAAAAGATGGAAAAGGCTTCTTATTAAAAGTATTTTAAAAACAAAAGATGCTTCTTTAACAACTAAGATAAAGTTGTCAACAACTCCACTTAGACAGCAGGACCTGTCTTAGTGAAGCCAGTATTGGGCAGAACAATAGATGTGGATTGTGATGATGTGGAGTCTCTGCAGTTATATATTTTGGGATGTACACAGGCAGTTTGCACAAACCCTCATAGACATGATGGAACTTAATTTCAGTTAATTCAGCTTTAAGCTTTTGCAGTCGTGGCAGCAGTTTACTCAAATTCCGTTGTGGATAATTTACCTTCTTCTGACAGGAACCACGAGGTCCTGTCCCTTATCCCAAAAATGATGTAGGTCACAGCCTGACAAAGCTAATAGAAATACATCATCTGCAAAAATATGACATGCAATCTTAAGGTCACCAAAGAAGACTGGAATCCTCCAATCCTTTGCTGTGCCGTAAAATTCTGTCCTTGAAAATCACAAACTGAATCAATGACAAGGCACAACCTCAGTGGAGTCCATCTATTGAGAAAGTCTGACAAAGTGCCAAGGATGAAGACAAAGTTTTTGGTCCAGTTATAGAAGGACGTAATTGCTCATAATAACTGCCCCAATGGTTCATAATCCCAGAGCTGCCCCATCAGGACACCTTGGACCAGTCCAAGTCCATCAAACATGTTGAGTGTGATGATATTCAGAGGCTAATGTCTTTGTTTGACACCAGCTGCTGAATTGGCACCTGGTCCTGTCTGAGTATGTTTAATTCCAAACATAATAATTTATTTATGTAATAGATGTGAAATGTCTCTGAGATCAAATCCCCTTGCTCTCTCTTGAGTCAGTAGAAAGTTTTTTTTTAAGAAGGGCCAATAAACATTTAAAGGTCCTTGTGGTATGTAAAGGGATTCAGTGTTTGCACTACTTCAGTGTTTGCTCTACTAGGGTGAGGTCATTACATCTGTACAGTGTTTAGGTGTTGGAGTAGAGTATAATCTGTCTGTGAAGCCAGTATTGGGCAGAATTATTTTCTTAATGTGGATTATTTGTTGGTTGTAGTAACTCAGTACTTTTCATTTTTGTTTGAGGGGCTTACGGCATTTAATGACCAAACAATTGGCCTTTTTTCACAGCAGTCATTTGGATTTATCATAGTAGGAAAAGCACAGATTATCATTAACATTACAATGGCTCTGTTCTATTCAAGTGTTCAAGTAAGACATGACTGTCACCGTGAGCCAGTACCAGGACACTGAAACTGAAGCAACTAAATGGAATTCAGCTGTTATGAATTTTATTATTTACACCTGTACTTCTTATGCTGTGACATGACACACTGCTGAGAAAAAAGGGCCTTTCCTAGACCAGACTTACAGGCAATACAGAGCCTCACACTGCAGGCCAGTGGCAATCAGAACAAGGTCTTGTCATCTTTTGTTCGCTTTAGCTAAAGTTTGACACCTTGATCAATGCAAGGACTGAGACATGAGTGTGAGGAAGATGTCATGTTAAAAAATTCAAGTAAAACCATTTGAATGGTGGTGATTCTGATGGAACAGTGGCATCATAGATCTCAGCACCAGTGACCTCTACGGTGTCCAATATTCAATATCTCCTCTTCAAGCCATTTAAATGATTTTCTGTGCCATACATAGCTCATAGCCACCATAGTTGTATCCTCTAATTCTTCCAGGATCTCAATGGATCTTCACCCTTTCTTCATGCACAACATAGCACTATCCACTGTTTTGCTGCTGCTGCTGTTGACGGGACAAGGCAGAGGGCATTGTGGTGCTGTGGCCTTTGTTGTACTTTCTGTCATCAAACTGATAGATTTTGTACTTTCTCCTGCTTGCAGCCAATGATAGAACCTGAAGTGGGACTGCTGGTTACCCAGCAAGCACATTAAAGACTGTGCTGTGTGGTAAGAGGAACAGGACATTGACCTTTGATCCCTGACCTCTAGTTTGAAGTCACATAACAGCTGAAGTGTGTGACACCGCAGCACCAGTGCTGTTTCTCAGACTACAGTTTTGTCTCAGTATTTTAGTTAAATAACTTGCTGATGTTTTTAGGTGCAAGTTACAATTTGTAGTCCAAGTGAAGCAATAGCTGTTTCTGTAGTTAGGGGTGAATGACTGTTACACCATTACACAGTCTCTCATAATCATCTAGCAATGTGCAAAATCCATTGTGTCCTTGCTTACAAGAACATTGTACGAATGCAAATTCTATCTAATTTAGGAGTGTCATTTAGGGATTGGTGGGGGGTGGTTGTTAAAAGTAGTAGCCATTTCTCCTACCCATCTATGCAGTTGTAAAGAGACCTGTTGGCCTACTGACAACTTGTTTTCACGAGGAGAAGCTAAAAATAGATGACATGGATGCTGTTGCAACCATTGGACCAGACAATCGCAACACACATATGCAACACACAAATGCACAGGCATGCTGGTCATAGGAAAATAACATGTAATAACACACCTCATATATTTGAGAGATGACATTGATGCACATGTTTATGTGTATGTTTTGTGTGTTAACAATGCCTTGCAAACTCCAAAGTTCTTTAATTCAATATCAAAGTCATAATAACATCAGGGAATATTTGCATGAAAAAAACCGTTGTGTGTACATGGTGTGATGATGAGTTCATGAACTTGAAAATCACTGCAAGCATAAATGTTACATACAATTAAAAAATGCAGTCAATAATAGACCAGATCACAAAGCTAGGTTTCAGTCAACTAGCCTTTTTGATGATTATTATACAGTATATCCTGATCACAGTAGTATGTTAGTGACCAGAGCTTCCATACTCTGTCACACACAAAAACAACATGAGCCTTGATGTGTCCGCTGACTGCCAGCTGCTGCGTTTAATGTTATAGCCTTTCTACATTTCATACATCAGGATACACACACATACCAACAGAGCTCACAATGACTTGTCATGTATCACGACAAGTGAACTCAGTGGTGTGATGGCATGTAACAGATACACATGCTAACTGTAGAGGCTAAATTGCAGTTATACAACACACTACTGAACACAGATTCTCTCTCAGGACCCGAGGGATTGCATAAGCAGCCATCTGAATATAGAATGACAGACAGTAATGAGTGTTGTGCTTGAATCGAATTGGTCCAGACACAATACGTGAGCCCTGTGACCCTGTTGTTTACATCTTTACAATACACACTGTATATAGAGTGTGTTATCTTTACACACACATAAACACAAAAATCTATGTATTTTTAATCAAAGTATTGATTGTTTGAAGGAATTTGAGCTTCATCTGCCTGAGTGATCACTAAATTTCATCGTAGGTTCCAGTACATTAAGTGACAGAGTTAGATATGATTGATCGGATATGTGGATTGACAAGACGTCCTAGAAAATTAAGTGTGACAAGAGAGGAACTTGCTCATCAAACACAGCCTTGAGGGGAAATCTATGATTAAAAAAATAAAAGCTGATAGTACAGTAGATCAGTAAAGTCCCAGCCCTAACATGATAATATCACACGACTGACAAGTGGCCCCTCATCAATGCAATGCTATGGCTTGTACAGAGGGCAGCTGGTTTTATATCCCTACCCATACACCAGATTTGCCATTTTTGGCATACTCAGATGAAGGAGTATAATACAATCTTTATTTATAGATCACTTTTTAAAATTCAAATTACAGGGTGCTTCACAAGGCAGTGAAATATAGCAGACAAGTCATAAAACCTTCAGGTTTAAAAAGAAAAGAGATAACAATAAAAAACAAATTCAGTGCATACGAGAAGTGGAAGTGAAAGAAGGGAAAAGACAAGAAGTGAAAATACAGTTAAGAGAAAATTAAGTAAAATCAGGAAAGGATCTACGATTATGTTTTAAGAAGAGACTTCTTCAACTACTGAGTCAGCTGACCTGATTTCCTGGGGCAGATCATTCTAGTGCCTCAGGGCTCTGACTGCAAACGCTGGCCCCTTCTGCCGGCTTCTGGAACAGATAAAAGACCTCTGCCTGAGGATCTCAAAGTACTGTATGTACCCGGGTATGCATAAGGTGTAGAGGTCAGAGATATAGCAAGGAGAGAGGCCACGAAGAACCTTAAAAGTAATCAGTGAGATCCTAAAATCAATTCTAAAACATACTGGGAGCCTGTGTAAAGAGGCTAAAACAGGAGTCATGTGATCACGTCTCTTGGTTCTGGTTAAAAGCTTGACAGCTTCAGTTCTGTTGAGTTTGGAGTCGATCAATAGGTAGTCTGTGTGTAGTAGGAGTCTGTGGAAAGCCAAACTGGGCACCATATTTATGTCTCAGAATTTGTTCATAGGTTAAATTTTGGCACTTAAGAGTTCTGAAAATGTAGAAAATACATAAAATGCAATATATAGGTTTTTAGGAAAGGTATTGATTGAGGGAGCTTTCATTTCTGAAATCTTAAACTGCCACATCTGAGGATGAATGTTTCTTTTTGCTCTGCAGTCAAACATTTTGGGATGTACACTGGCATTTTGCACAAACCCTCATAGACATTATGAAACTTAATTTTAGTTAATGCAGCTTTACGCTCTTACAGTTGTGGCAGCACTTTACTCCAAATACATTGTGGATAATTTACCGAGGTGCAGGGAGCTTCATTTTTTTAAATCTTACACTGCCACATCTGAGGATGAATGTTTTTTTTGCCTGCAGTTTAAATCTGCAGTTAGACTTGTTGCGCTGCCATTAGAGCCAATCACTCTACCATTTTGAAGACACATTACACTAAGGCTGGTCGATATTACTTCAAATCAATATCACGATTATTTCAAACTTTTACCTCGATTATAGTTAATGAACGATTACTTTGCCGCTTATCGGTGTCTCTCTTTTTTTGAGCCATTTATATTCGGCAATGTGATTGTGTTCGTGATTAAACAAGTTGGTGGTGCTACTTTTGGTCACTGAAATTGTTTTTCTGTGGTGTTTTCATTTGACTTCTTTTTGTCTATTGCCATCCCCACTGAAGCCCAAATGTGCCCAAACAATGGGCATGACATCCTTTTAAGATGCTCGGGTTGAGGCTCAGTGTTTGCGTTTGTGTCGTCCATATCACCAGCTTTGCTTTGAGTGAACGCAGATTAACGTTAGTTGGATGGAGTTGAGTCATGTGACTGAACATGAGGTAATATTTTTAAGGGAAAAGTATTAACTGAATTTACCGACATAAACAAGATTAGATCAGTGAGATGTTCTAAATGTTGGCTTTGATACTTTTTCTGTTAATTACCCAGCCCTGCTTACCACCTTGTTGGTTTCTATTATAAACAAATAAAACTGTACAGTTGGCTTGGCCTCCGCTAGTTTGGGAATGAAGTTTAGTCACAAACCAAACACTTTTCGGTGAACCTGTCTGTGTGCTCTACCAGCTTTGTTATTGTAGAGTATCAGTAGTCAAATACAGGCCCAATGTTATTCTAAAGCTCCATTTACTGGTTAAATAATAATGGAAGTGGTAGGCTAATGTTACTGATATGTGGGCCTAGCTCTTTTAAATGGAACTGAAAGGCATCTCAGAGCTTTACGGTGCATTTTTGAGCTGTGTGAAAAATGCTTTGTTGATGCTAAGTACCTACAGAGAAGGCTTTATCCTTACATTAAATTGGATATTGTATACAGTTTTCATCACCTTGTATCTCCCCTCTTGCAGGTCACGGCAAGAACCACAAGGACGCAGCATCAGTGCGAGCCACACACCCAATCCCCGCTGCCTGTGGGATCTACTACTTTGAAGTCAAGATTGTCAGCAAAGGTCGAGATGGGTAAGCCGATACAACTGTGGACAAGCTTCCCTGCATGTGTGCTATGATTTAAGGGAAACCCTTTCTAGCTTTGGATCAGTCAGTATTTCTCTCATAACATTGTCACTGTGCCCAAAAAGAAAATTAAAACTGCATCAACTTGCAGTGTTCCTGCTATTAGCTTTGCTTTGTCTGTATTATGTGTCAGCTTCATGTTCAGGTCCTTGGATGACTGGACTGCATCAGCAGTTTTCTGAGAACATTATCAAAAGGGACAATCCCATGAGAACAAAGTTCTTGTCAATAAGGTTTTACGTGTTCACACACTGATTTCTAGGGGAGTTATAAGCTAAATGTGCATAGTAGCAGCTCTGACAAGAGATGATAAAGTACAGCTGTGACTTGAATCTGTCCAATCTGAAGACAAGAAAACATTCTTATTATTGGATATCCAAGAAAAAAAATACTAGTAACTACTAATAAGTCATTGTCAGTTAGCAGAAATTTCCCTTAAGTTAATTTATCTCTGTTTAAAACTAAACACAGGCTTTAGGGATGCATTGTAGGTTGTTTGTTTGGCCTTGACAATTACTGGGAGGATTGCCATGAGGGTTGACGAATGCTAATATGCTAAATGTCAGTTAAAATGAAAAATGTCAACATGCTAAACATTAGCATGTTGACATTTATAATGCTCATGGTATGCATGTTAATGTGCTGATATGCTCAACATTACATGCTCGATATTATCATGTTAACACATTGGACTAATATGTTAACATGCTAACATTAGTGTGAGGTTACTGTGCAAAATCCAACAGTTTCTAGCAAGCATGTTTGTGGCAGCACAGATTTCCTCATACCTACAGTAGGCATTATGATTATTGATAGGTATATAACCAATCAAATGCAGGACATGGACTCAGAATTAGCGTGAATAAGAAAAGGTTTATTGTCTGCTCCCAGAGACTGAAGGTGGATGGAGGTGAGGATTATGGTAGGAAAAGGCAGAGGGCTTAAGGAAGCTGGTGGCTGGTGAAGCAGGGCAGAGTGGGGATGAAGGCAGGGTTGTGTGAGCATGGATGGATGACTGATGGGCAGGCAGGCTTGTTATGATCCTGTGGCACCCGGAGACAAGGATTAGTTCAGTGATCAAAACAACACAAGAGTCAAAGCTTAGGATGCACAGTTCTAAGTGGCCTTAAGAACGTGATCTACCACACTGCCTGAAACAGCGATCTGGGGATGAGTGGATGGAGAACTGCGGTTGATTGTATACTCCTGAGCTGATGAGTAAATGGTGTGCAGGTGTGCAGGCTGATCAGCAAGCAGGGAGCCAAGAGAGGTAGAGGAGCACCACGCCCACAGCACACACATACAGAGTGAGAGAGAGACAGACAGACAGACAGGGGAGCTCAGGAGGCACAGGGGAAAGGGAAATACTAGAAACACAAGCTATAAATTGGAGGCACAGCCGTAACCATGACAATTCATGTTTCCATGTATTACAGCATCATAGCAGTTTATCAAGAAAGTGTCAGCACAAATACAAATGATTATTTCATGTGTAGTCTAATGTTTTCAATCTTAGGCCTTAGGTTGGTGACCATGCCTGTAGTTCTGTTATTATTGTATTTTCCTCCATAATGTGTCAAACATTTGATGGTATGAGAATAGCTTTACTCATCTTTGTTTCTTGGGATTGGTCTTTTAGGGTCAGACATTTCTAGGTCACTTTGGTGGGTTGCAAATTTGTAAATGTGCTTAAGCAGCATTTCCCTCACCTTGAGTCTGCATAAAAACAGCAATCTTTATATCACGCGCCAAATACAACAGTGCCTCCAAAGATGTCACTCATGACCTCCATTAGCATCTTGTTGCCAATATCGGCATCAGCTGTGGTGCTCTACAAATGTTTCAGTGACAGAGAGAGTGGCACCAACGCTGGTAGTGATTTAAACTTTTGTTTATCTGCTGTGTGAGTGAAAATAGGGACGTTACAACCTAAAACTGGCAGCTTTACCAACAAGCCATGACTCGTCCAATCTGAGGGGCAAAACCTGACTGTCAAGCTTCTATGCAGCTGTAAAATCAAAAGCTTCATCTTAGCTGAACCATATTTATCTGAATGTCACATTTGACCCAGAACATGAAAATGACATCACACATCTTCATCAGAAAGAATATCTAACATCTAACAGAGATGCCATGCAGAATAACCTCTTTGACCATGCGTTAGTGGTTTTTATACTAATAGCCTATCAGAAAATTTTATTTGTTGTCAAATTAAAATACCTTTATTTTGCAAGCACTTGTGCAAAAAAAAAGAAGTTCTTGCCCACATTTACTTTCACGATTTTATTATATAATAATAATAATACTTGTGCTGATATATTGACCAGAATACACTGAGTACCAACTATTTCTCCAGGATTAAACCAATCCAGGCATTGTTTGCTCCAAGATGGCACCCAGAGTAGTGTCATCAGGCTCTGTTCCTGAAGTTGTTGCCAAAAGTAGCAAAATTAGCTTCAAACAGAATTCAACAGTGAGGTGATTCCTTCACTGCAGTCCTGATTTACTTATATTGACATTTTTGTCTTGAAGGATCTATATGTGACTTTCCCAGACTGCTGCTTTGCTGACCAGTCATCAACCTTTGGTTTAAAAATATTTCAAATATTAATGGTGTAGAAAATGAAGAAGGATAGCTTGTCACTTTCAAATAGTGCAATACAGCAAGACATACAGTAGTAAGTAAGGCACATTACTGGTCCTTAGCTGAAGCATCTGCTGGGATTGTTGGGGTTGTTGATCAGAACCAGTGACACTATTATTACTTTGACAGGTGTTTAGATTCCTGACTTTCCAACCCCACAGTTTGACCTGTACTTTGCATTGGAACCAAAACTCTCCTCCATCCTCCCCAGTAAAAGTCTCAGGTTACACAATCAACTGTTAACACTCCCAAGTTCCAGTTGAGCAGCTCATTGTGAGACAGAACTAAATGGTGGTGTAAAAGACAACTGCTATGTGGGTGTGTCTGTGTGCAACTACTATCTTAACTGTAAATAAAAAAGTCCTCCAAACACAACTTGGCCGCTTGAGTTGAAACCCCAACAGCAGTGTGATCACATGGAGGAAATGTGTGGTTCATTGGACCAGCTGCAGAACGTCACAACATGTTGAATTCATATTTAAGTTGCAGCATCAGGTAACGACATACAGAAACATCACACAATTACCATTCCTTTCATTGTTACAGTGCAGATAGAAGCGGTATGTCAGGAAATACTGCTGACATTCCACTATAATAATGTGTGTGTATTTCTAAGGTGTAACGCTGAAACTGGGCAATAAACTGACACTCAAAGTAAATCCAAATACAACACTGACTTCCAAAAACAAAAAAAAAGTCTCAATACTATGGCCTGCATAGTTGCTTAGTGTTTCATAGTTTAAATATAGTTTAAAGAAGATAAAACTGTTTTTGGATATTTTTGGGGAAACAGTGTCTAAGCTTCAGGTAAATCTTTGCCTGGCAGTGATTGACTGGTTCTCCTTTTGGCCACATAGTGCTGATTATGTCAGATTATATCAGCCATAGAGATTTGAATCGATCTAAAAGATGCAGCATTTGGTAGGATCCATCATGCTGTCAAGTTTAGTTCGTTAGGTAACTAGGCTAACAAGCATCTACTCGGAAAATGGAAGCTAGTTAGCCTAGCTTGTCAACATTAGCATTTACGTCCCTTACTTTTAGCATTTACTTCCTTTACTCCATGTTTTTTGGTCACTGTTGAAGAGTCACTGTCAAGCTTCTGCACACTCGCTGTGTTTGCTACACATAGTAGAAAGGATTGGCCTATTTAGCATTAGCTTTCTCTCCTTATAAGGCCTGAATGTAGTGATGGTAACATACAAAGTAACGCAGTAACATAGGGAGTGCTAAGTGCACACAATGAAGAGAGCGCTATCAATAGATAAAACTTTAAATTCCTCATTTTGCCAATTAGATTTGGCCAAATAAGTACACTAAACTAATTCCTTCTCAAAATCAAATTTAATTTGAGTTTGACTGTAGTAACAATGAAAAAGATTTAACTGAAAAATCACCATTTAATACTCACTGTTGATTTGTATTTTGTTGGTCAATCTAAAACATTCTCTTGAGTTTTGAAGTTTAGGTTTATTGCCACCTCTTCTGTTCCAGACCAACAAAACATAATGAACCCTGTTTCGCTTCAGTGTAGTGTTTGACTCCATATGTAAATTGCCATTTTATGTTAAAACCTTATTGCTTTGAGATGTATTTTAATTTGATTTACTTGGCCCATGTCACAGGGACAGGTCAGCATGTTAATTATATTAGTGGAACAGTCATTGATAAACTGTCTATGGAAAAACTTTCTTCCAGCAAGTGGGTGAGGAAAAAAAATTGCCATTGCTGTTGTTATGACGTTTATATCAGCCACGCTGGTAGCTGCCTTTGAGTGAAAGCCAGGTTCATGACTCAGACCTGTCCGATGAACATCCCAATGTACCTTTTAATCTGGGGAAGCAAAGACAGGAGGATTTAAGACAGGCTCTTTCAGCATATGTTTCATTTCGAAAACTGGTCAAAGGAACAATTATTGTAATAGGATACAAAGAATAGAGATTTCCGTTGTTGTTGTTGTTGTTATACTTAAGCGTTGGTTGAATCAATTTCATAATTTAGACATTTTAAGCCATGCTGGTGGTATGGCTCTAGGCGTGGTAGTATTGGTGTCCTGGTTGGTTCACTACTTTGGTACAGAAATAGAACTCTAAACATCTTCCAGTCCACAGCCTTGGTTGCTGTGATACCAGTGTCTCTTCCTCCTCTTACATCCCAGATGCCATTGAGTAGAAAGCAGGGAACTTGTGAATAAGGCAACCCATTCATCTCAGACCACAAATTTACTGCTGGGATTTGGCTGATGACATCAGCATGTGTCAAAATGAGCTGAGACGACGCCAGATGTTTTCAACTGACAGTATTGATGACTTGTTCAATTGAGCAAAGAGCTTTGTTTTGCTATAGCTTTCATAAGCTTGCTTACATGAAAAGGATGCAGGCCCACCGCTAACCCTGGTGTGACAGACTTATGATGTCAGTGTTGACCCCTCAGCTTCAACTCTCCCTGCCACTTTTAGTTTCGACCTCGGAGGCAGTTCACTCTGCAATAACTAGTTTTCACATTTGGGATATGAAAGGAGATCAAAGACGATGTGTTCAAAGTTACCTCTGCCTGACACACATCAAACTTTGATCCAGAGCTTTATCTGAATATTCTTCAAAGTTAACCTGAGACAAGACCAAAACACCGAAATTACTGAGGATCAGAGGGAGCTGATACTCTTTAATGATTACAGATATGTTTAAATGTGGGTGCATGCTATGTAATGTATAAAATCTACTGAAGTTTGAATCTTTCTTCTCGTGTGTGTAGGTACATGGGCATCGGCCTGTCTGCCCAGGGAGTCAACATGAACAGGCTGCCTGGTGAGTAACATGTGAATGATATGTTGGGGGGGATGGACAGATAGACATTTGTTTGATAGATCGATGGTGAAATTAATTTAAGGATGTTACAATGGGCGGGTGGATGTCAGAATTTATTGATGCAAAGATGGCAGAAGAAAAACATGAGTCTGTGGCTGGAACAATCTGTGAGATGGGGTGAAATGAGGATTCCCAAGGTTACTCAACATTAACAGTGTGTATGGCGAGTACTTCATCACGCCAACATCCAGCAATAGCATTGGATCCCTGGTCTGGAGCCAGAATTTCAGCCACTTAGCAGATCGGACCAGCAGCTTTGGCAAGCTGAGAAGAACAACATCCTGCAGCGCTTTCCTCTTTTGTTCAATTTTGGTTACACACAGGACAGTCTGCCCAGTACAATTAAGCAACCCTAGAGGGGCTGGCCAAAACCATGACCCTTAACATTTCTAATTACTTATTGGCCCATGGTTCCAGCCCTTCAACCCCATTGGCTCAGATTACAATCAAGCATTAATAATACTGTGAATGTGGTTGGTTTACTTTAGACTTGACATCACAGAATAGGGAGATTTCTTATCAACAATGTGAACACTGGAAAAGGGTTGATTATAAGCACTAAGTCATTGTTTTCATTCAGGCTGTAGATATTTTGGGAGCTTGATTGGGAGAATTTTTCTGAATGGATGATAAGTTTGGATGCGTGTGGAGATTCTGGAGGAAAGATATAAAGGTAGATGAAAGGAATGAAGAAAGTGACAGGAAATGGGTTTTTGTGGATAAGTGAAAGTAGCTGGCAATGAGCCAACATTTATGATTAAGATTTAGAGATGAAAGTTGGAGGAGATGACGACGTGTGGCATTGCTATAGTAATTGTATGTGGTTATCTGGATTTGGTCTGAACAGTCTGACAGCTGCAGAGAGAACATGTCAGGACATGTCACTGAGCAGTGACAGACGAAGTTGACTTGAGCTTGAGCTTGTGTCTGACCTCCGACTGATCCAACTTAAGACAAATATTGTTTCTCACTTCGTAGTGATGGATTGCTCAGTATTTTACACATTCAAATGTATTTTTGTGAATGTATTTCCCACATATCTAAGGGTGTTGTTATAATTTCACCACATAAACTATGTCAAAAATAACCTGTTAGTGTAACTTGTACTCAGTTTTTTTTACTCAGTATATGTAAAACCTACTGGAATATTTACAGCTGAATGAAATGCAACATCATTTCATTCAGCTGTAAATATTCCAGTAAGCACAAAACAATGCAAAACAGCTTGGTTTAAAAACAGACACCAGCAATTTAGTCTTTAACTTATATAAAATATGGTCAAAGTCAATATATTTATATATATTTTAGTCCCTAGTTGGGGTTAAAGGTGCCCCATGGAGTTTTCTTACCAAAATACATTGTGTGTATGCCTGAGATCTGATAAATGTGAATGCATTTACTGTCTCTTTAATTTGCAAAGAAGATTTATGTAACATTTTAAAGACGGTATATTTTTTTACACTTGTGTTTGAGTGTAGCCAACAGTCTTCTTCTTCTCTGTATTTGTTGTTGTCCGTCAGCAGAATAGTATGTAACTAGCATCAGTGCTTGTGCATATTATGAATAAAACCCACATATAAAATCATTACTCCAAACTCAACATACGTTTGAGCCCCCAAGATGCTGATTCTATCATCCTACAGTTCCCATAATGCAATTCAATAGGGTCTTTAATTGGACCCTCCCTGTGTGGTAAACTCCTACTTATATCAGACTTCATAACCCAGTGTGTAACTTAGTCTTTCTCGTATAAATTTGTAGCCTCCACACTCAAACTGACATAACCTGGATGACATCACTGTGACATCATCAGTGCTGTTTTTTTTTCCTATGACAAATCTCCTCCTGAGCCACAGATGACATTATAAAACTGTTTTCACATGCTGAATAGTACTCATCTCAATGAGTAAACTGACTTTGATGTGTAAAATTAATGGAACATTTTGAAGGCTTTTTCTAGAATTCAGCTTAAAACATTACCACCAAGTATGAAATAACCAAAGACTAAACCAAAGTCTTAATTCCCAGGATAAAGATAAATAAATAAAGTCATGTTGAATGGTGAATCACAGGGCAGCTTTCATCATTACTTTCTTTTCATAATATCACAGTGATTTTATACATCATGTCCCTTTCCCATGATTGGGATTTATTTACATGTAAGAATAAAGTTGAATCCAGACTATAAAGTCACAGAGTTCACTGTTAATATTCATAGAGCAAAGGCGCTGTTCTAAAGATTTAAGAAGTAGAAAACAAGTCAGTTTGACAACAATCATACAAGGCTTTGTCTACTGACACTTAAGCATTTATTGTGTATTGTGTACTTGACATACACTTTGATGGCACAAACGGCAAGACAGGCACACAGTCACATGCTTGTGTCATTTGAAGAGTTTCTTCCCCTTTTCCCCTGTGAATGTTCTTTCTTTCTATATTTCTTCATGTGCCCTCAAGCCCTGGCCCACCATGTCCATTCTCTCACACACACACACACACACACACACACACACACCCACACACACACACACACACACACACACACACACCCACACACACACACACACACACACACACACACACCCACACACACACACACACACACACACACACACACCCACACACACACACACACACACACACACACACACCCACACACACACACACACACACACACACACACACCCACACACACACACACACACACACACACACACACCCACACACACACACACACACACACACACACACACCCACACACACACACACACACACACACACACACACCCACACACACACACACACACACACACACACACACCCACACACACACACACACACACACACACACACACCCACACACACACACACACACACACACACACACACCCACACACACACACACACACACACACACACACACCCACACACACACACACACACACACACACACACACCCACACACACACACACACACACACACACACACACCCACACACACACACACACACACACACACACACACCCACACACACACACACACACACACACACACACACCCACACACACACACACACACACACACACACACACCCACACACACACACACACACACACACACACACACCCACACACACACACACACACACACACACACACACCCACACACACACACACACACACACACACACACACCCACACACACACACACACACACACACACACACACCCACACACACACACACACACACACACACACACACCCACACACACACACACACACACACACACACACACCCACACACACACACACACACACACACACACACACCCACACACACACACACACACACACACACACACACCCACACACACACACACACACACACACACACACACCCACACACACACACACACACACACACACACACACCCACACACACACACACACACACACACACACACACAATGACATCTGTGAATGGTTCAGCAATCTCTGGTGACATAGGAGGAAGCGTAGTAGCCATATAGCAGCCGAGAGCCCGAGTAAAGCCCTCTGCTTCTCTCCAGCCAATCAGACCACGGCACTGCTCTGACCAATCACATTGTGGGCTTTCCAGGCCTGTCTGGGGCCGTTCGGCCTGCTTATTGACCAGTCAAGATCTGTCCAGTGACCGAGGTTTGTGGAATGCTGTGGACACTGGGGCAGCCAGTTCAGCAGACTCTAGATCCACACACACACACACACACACACACACACACACACACACACACACACACACACACAAAGATCATTCATTCCCCTCTCTTCTTGATTCACATGTGTCAAATGTCACACAAAAACGGTAGAACAGTGTGGAACACTGTTGTGTTGTGTGTGGACAGACATGTTTTCCAAACCTGCTCACACATTAGTTATGAAAATATTTTCAGTTGCTAGGATTCCACCACAGATGGTCTGTAGCCCTGGTAGACAGATTACTGTTGATTGCCTTAACTCTGACTGACTCAGTGTGTTTGTGTGCCAGTGTGTGTTTGTTCCGAACTCTGTGGATTTATCTGTGTGTGTCCTGGACTGACTGATTGCGTCTCTGAGTGTACTTGTTTGTGTTTGTGCCCACTCTCCTGTGTGTCGACGTGTGGTGTTTGCGCGGCACACTTTTATGACCATTTGCACACGTGCCATATGTGCCAGTGAACTTGTGTGTGTATATATGTATGTGCGTCCCTTAATAGTACATTGTTCTCCACTGCTGACCTCTGTGTCTGATCCTGCCGTGGAGGCCTGCCCATTTCATTAGCATGTTGGAGCAGTGAGCCTGGCTTTAGAGGCAATATCCCTGTCAGCAGATTAATCTAATACCTCAACACACACACACACACACACACACACACACACAGTATAAGTATAAGAACGTGTGGAGAGCGCGAGAACAGTAAGTGCTCAAGTTAAAAGAAACGCACCAATTCACTTGAAATAAACACAAACAGCTACAAACCCATACATTTGGCTAAGGTTAACACTTTTTTTTAAATGCTCACAGACAACACATACACACATATACAAGTACGCATCTAATATCTCAGCTCACCCACGACCTACTTTCACTAACCCCGCTTTGCTTTTTGGCAACGACAGACAAGCTGTGATTGAGGAGAGACACTGACAGATCGGCAGCGAGCTGAAGCTCGGCACTGTCGGGTTCAGATCCTCTTCGCCACAGGAGGAGGAATTTCCCGCAAAAACTCGTTGAGTGTAGAACTTAAGACACAGGCTGGCCCTCCAAATAACTGATTGTGAATCTCTGATGTAGTTGTTTCCTCTTGCTGTAAAAGGAATCCCGTTGCAGACCTCAGAAGCTGTTGCCTTGTTGTCCGCTCAGTGATTTGATTTCTTTAAAGATCCATCCATTCATTCGTTTTACTAGACATGAATCGGCCAGTTTGGATTCACTGGACTGAAGTTATTAAAGTCTGTCTTGTTTTCTCTGTTAGAAAGATGTTACATCTTGCTAATAAATGGAAAAATCTCGATTTCCTTCGATTTTCACGACAACTGCTCACCTGATGGACTTCTAACTTGGTGCATTGCTGAGGACTCGAGGAAGTGCTCTGCCGACTGTTGGATGAGCAGCTGTCCAGACCCCAACCCTTACCCTCCACTTATTTTAAACTGTACTTGCTGTAACCATGGTAGTAAGGTACTGCATAATTTACACATTTATTTGTTCTTTATATATATAAATATATAACTCAAGACTTACATTTTTAGTCTAGTTTTGAATTTTCTGTATTTATTTATCTATATTACTACATTTTAGACTGCTTTACTACTTGATATATCCCTTTTATCTACTTTTTATTTCTGGTTTTATTCACTTCAATACATCTTCTCTCTTTCAGTATTTTATCTTTTTACACACTTCACTGTTCTGTTATTGTTTTATTTTGCTATTGTGATTTTACATTTTTTTTATCCTACCTCTGGTGTTTTCCTAACTGCAAATTTATGAGTGTTTCTTCAGTCCCTATTTTTAGTCTTTTATTTATAACATAGTTGTTTATTGCTTTGTGCATGGATTGGGAAGGGGGGTTGTTTTTATTGTGTAAAGCACTTGATTGATGTATTTGTTGTGTTTTTATCAGAATTTTTACGAGTAACTAAAGTCATCAAATAAATGTAAAACAAAAATTTTAAAGTATAAGTATCAAGTAACAAAGAATGGAATCTCTACTCAGAATTCTTCTTCGCTACCATATTTGTACATTTGTACAGTACATACTTACTTTCCACCACTGACAGCCTGGCTGTTATTGTTTTTACCTTGTTAGTCTGTGTGTGTGTCATCATGGCAAAGTGTGTTCCTGGAGACAGACTGTAGCAGGAGCTAGCACAGGGGTGGTTTCAGTACTCTGGCAAGTGTTTATATGTCTGTCTGTCTGTGGACAGATTTTGTCACCATGGTAGTGTCACAACCGTGGAAGATACAGTCATGAAACTTTACAGGTCTAAATGAAGGCCGAGTTCAAAGATGGGTGTAGACTGTCATTTATAATGTAGTAACAACTACTGAGTACTCATGGGTCAGTGTGAACATGTCGGATCCATACTACTCTCGTGTGTACAAGTTGCTTATACGTTCATCAGTACCAGCAGGAACAAGACGGAAGGGAGTTTAATGAGCAAATCATGACATCCTCTCCTCTCCCTCTGTACTCCCCTGGTTCAGCCTCCTGTGCTGCTGTTCCTGATGGCAGTGACTCACCAGTTTCTTTACATAGACCAGGTCCTCCTGCTGGTCATTCAGGGCACTGCACCACATGCCAAAGAGAAAGTGTGTGTGTGTGTGTGTGTGTGTGTGTGTGTGTGTGTGTGTGTGAATTTTCATGAGTAACCTTGCAGGCAGTTGTAGTCAGATGGGAAATTCTGAGCATCAGAAGTCAATGAGTAACTGTCTCCCTTCTTTTTGGCAGAAGCCACTGTTAAGAGTGACCTAGAGTAAGTCACTTCACCTCAAATGCTCTAGTGGAATCACAAACTGTTTATACTGAGCTGCTCCCACTTGATGTGCACAGTATTTATCAGCCTTCAGCAGCAATGTTGGTCCCAGGGGTTTGACTAACAACACATTTTTCATAAGAGGTCAAGTATAAAGTAAAACATTAATCCTAATCCTTGTCCTATTTTTAGGATGGGACAAGCACTCATACGGTTACCATGGAGACGACGGCCACTCCTTCTGCTCCTCTGGGACTGGCCAACCATACGGCCCAACATTCACCACGGGGGATGTGATTGGCTGCTGCGTTAACCTCATCAACAACACTTGCTTTTACACCAAAAATGGCATCAGTTTAGGTTGGTGGATATGATGTGTATTTATAGATATGTATGTGGATTTATTACATTTTAAATGATATGATATATTAATGGATACTTAAAAAAAAAAAAAAAGTTTTCCTTAATGTATAACAGTACATTAATACTTGTCCTGTCCTGTCTTCCTTTAGGTGTAGCCTTCACAGACCTCCCTGTAAGTATCCATGACTAAACAAGTATCAATTATTGACTCATCTGATTTCTGTTTTTATTCTTCAGCTGTTTGACGGCCAGAGAAATACTCTCTGATTGGAGAATTCCTTTTAATTGAACATTTTGAATCCCTCCTTCCATGTTTGTTTTTAGAGAAAACACTTGGGGAAAATATACAGTATATACCTATAATAATTAATTATAACAATTTACACATGTATCACTGTCCTACACATTAAGACAATATTACGATACCTAATCCATATCATCCTTTTTATACCATTCCTGTAACTGTAGAGACTGACAAACTGAATAACTGGATATCAGCCATGCAGGTCCATATCTGATTGCAGCTTTTCTTGGCAGTTGGCTTGGAAACTAATTTTTTTTTTGTCCAGTGGCCACAGAACATTCCCCTGAAAACAAAACAGCCACTTTAACGGTTTTAACAACCAAATTGGTTGTAAGAATAGAACAGGGAGTCAAAACCTCAGTTGGCTTCTGGCCACCGTGGCTGCAGGAGCAGATGGAGTTACAAACCTCTGTCAAAGCTAAACAGCATTCAGCCCGGTGTTGGTTAATTTCATGTCCTGTTGGTGGCTTTTGCACATGCCAACAGACAAGATCCAATGTGTAAAACTGAGTACTATAATCTGAAGACACACTAGTAAATAGCTTGTTTACAGTTTGTGCTGTTAGCCCGTGTATTTATCTATTCATTCATTCATTCATTCAACAGTTTCCCATTACAGGAACTTTACCACACATACCTTGAGGTTTCCATAAAAAATGTGAATTTTCCTCAGGACATAATATGTTGTTCAGTATTTTACAAATCCGTAATAACAATCCTCAAAAATGTATGTAAATGACTGTTTTAACCTGAATTATTTTCTGTATTTAATATCTTCCAGCCCAATCTGTACCCCACTGTGGGGCTTCAGACCCCAGGCGAGATCGTAGACGCTAACTTTGGCCAGCAGCCGTTTGTCTTCGACATCGAAGACTACATGAGTGAATGGCGGGCCAAGATCCACGGCATGATCGCTCGCTTCCCCATAGGAGAAAGACTGGGGGAATGGCAGGCCGTCCTGCAGAAGTAAGACTCATAACCAGTCCCCACAATTACTAAAAAGATTTTTACATAAAATCATTACAAAAAACATTACACTGTTCTGAATGAGCATGTACAGACTGCAGGTTCCCGTGGGAAATGATGGTGAAGTGACAGTTTTCAGATCAAAAACCACAGCAGATGAAAACACAACAACTCACATTTAATACTTTCAAAATAAATCTGGATATACCAGTTGATTTCTGCTTAATAATTCATTTTTAAATGACTTGATGTACTTTTTTTTGCATATTATGCCTTTAAAGTGATAAATAGACAAGTGACGGAAAATTAGTAAGTGACCAGGATTAAGGCTCCTGGACTGAAATCAAACCGGGGAAGTTGTTTATCAGAAATCAGTTTAAGAAATTCAACATTTAAACCCTTTTTTTTTCATGTTTTGTATATAGTATGGTGTCCAGCTACCTGGTGCACCATGGGTACTGTGCCACCGCAACAGCCTTCGCCAGAGCCACAGAGACCATGATCCAAGAGGACCAGACATCTATAAAGAACAGACAGAGTGAGTGAACAAACCAGCCACACACTCTGGTCCACATTTTCACTTGACTTGACAAATATTCCACACTGTATTAAGTCATTTAACAGCACCAAAGAAACAAACAAACCATATCCAGACTTAGATCCTGTGCCTGCTGTTTGTCCCTGATGACCTGTGGTCTCTATGAATGACGCACTGGCCTCTATCAAATGTGTGCTGTGAAAGCATGGTTCCTTTGGATCAATATACTGTAAATAGCATCTTGTTTCTTTTGTGTAATAGGAATACAGAAGCTGGTGCTGGCAGGACGGGTGGGCGAAGCCATAGAAGCGACTCAGCAGCTTTATCCCGGCCTGTTAGAACACAACCCCAACCTACTATTCATGTTGAAGTAAGTCAGCGTGGCAGATTTAGATCAGATGCTATAACAGTAAATCATCCGGAAAGCCAGGGATTGATTCTCTACCGTCACCATGTGAAAATTGCTTAGTGATAATCATGTCATATTTCTTGCTTGAATGCGTAATCTCCCAGTAATTACCAGTAACACCAGTATGCTCTGTCCTTTAGGTGCCGTCAGTTTGTGGAGATGGTGAATGGTACAGACAGCGAGGTTCGCTGCTTGACTATTCGCTCCCCTAAGTCCCAGGACAGTTACCCCGGCTCACCCAGCCTTAGCCCCCGCCACGGAGCCAGCAACACACACCTGCACACTGGAGGTACACATGCAACATAATGCACTAATACATTGACAAAGAAAACAGTCACCAAATCAGTGAATGATTTTCCCATTCACTTTAAGTAATGAGATATTCATGTTTTGTTGTCCCTCCACTTGTCACCATCATCCTCCACCCAGGAGCAGACAGCCCTACCTGCAGTAATGGGGTGACCCCCCCCAACAAGTCAAAGAGCCACGGCGGTACTGGCAGCAGCAGTATCAAATATCCCAGCGCGTCCTCTTCTGCCTCCTCCTCCACCTCTTCCTCCCCTTCCTCAGTCAACTACTCTGAGTCCAACTCCTCCGATTCCACCAAGAGCCAGCCACACAGCGCCAACAGCACCCAGGAAACCAGGTGAGGAGGCCTGTCAGTCTGTACCGTAGCAGAAACACACAGACTTGGTGACTCTAGGGGCATTAGGTGTGGATCTGGGTGCTAGTACTGGTAGTAGATGATATTAGACAACACGGTGATAAGTAAATAGAGGTGATGTTTTCTAATGACAGTTGATCATTAAATGGGCCACATGGGGATGGATTATCATTAATAAATCATTACCACAGTCGTTCATTCTAGCATTTTGCGTGTTGTTGGTGAGCCAGTGCCCAGAATATTTCAACTAAGGAACTTGAACAATGACATTATGATTGATAGGGTTCATGTTCACAGTGATAATAAATAGTCTCTTGATTATTCCCTTGTGATGACCCCCCCCCCCAATTTACACAGGTTACAATCAGAGCAACAAAAGTTTCCCCTTTAATGCTGTATGAATAGAGTAGTAAACATACAAAGGCGAATACAATAAAATAACAAAAAGAGGAACCAGCCACTGACATCATTTAAAAAAACTTGCTACTGAGGAGCGCCAACATTTACTTGCAGGAGCTTGTCCCCAAAGCAGGGACAGGACACTGGATACAAAAGCAGAACCCGTGACAATGGATGCAAGTTATGTCACATTTTGTTGAGTTCCTGCAGTGGAAAAAATTGTCCTTGCAGTTTTGACTTGCTGTACTTTCTGTAGGGACTTGAGAGACTTGTCCTTCTGTAATGTAAGTGTAATAACCTGTAGGAATCATGGTCAAAAAGGTCAAAGGGTAAAAAATCTTTATAGATAATGAGCTTAGTTCTGTATCATATTATGTTAGTTTTTGCACCACGTGTCAAGTCAAAATGGCCAAGTTACCTCGAGCAATATGTGTGTGTGTGTGTGTTTGTGTGTGTGTGTGTGTGTGTGTGTGTGTATAGTGACAGTGAGATGGAGATAGAGGCAGAGCACTATACCAACGGGGTTGTTGAGGGCTCCTCAGCGCGGATTATGAATGGGACATACAAACATGAAGAGATCCTTCAGCCAGATGACAACAGCATTGGCAATGGGGTCACAGGTATGCACACACACACACACACACACACACACACACACACAAACACACACACACACAGAGTCAACAACTTTACATACTCCTGCAACTTTTTCTTGCCTTTATCTTGCTCTGTTTTATTTATTCTTCCCTTCACTTGCTTCATCTTCATGTGCTTTGTTGTATCCCTCACCTTTTGCTTTCCCTTTTCCCTATTTATTACATCCACCTTTCCACAGGAGGTTTTTACAGCATGTGTATTGTAACAGTGTATGTATGTGTGTGTTTGTCTGTTGCCAGCAGATGAGGGTTGTAGTAATAGCAAACAGCTTTGTGGAGGGAACCAGGCAGCCACAGAGAGGATGATCCAGTTTGGACGGGAGCTGCAGGCGCTCAACGAACAGCTGTGCCGCGAGTACGGCAAGAACGCCACACACAAGAAGATGTTACAGGTACACACAAATAACGGCACGGTCACACAGGCTTGAGCTCAACAAACAGCTGTGTTACAACAGAACATAAAACTGATGCCAGAACTGGGCTGGAGAGATTTCTTCTGTTGGCACCAGTTAAAATCCTGATGACAGTATTCTGTACACACTGCAGGAACTGGAGAGATGTTTTATTTCGAGTAATGAAGCAGCCATAAATCAGATAGAGTCCCAACGATCTAACAACAAGTGGGGCAGTTGTTCCAGTTCTCCAGTGCACAGGAGAAAACTCTGTGATTTATAAGCAGCCACTCTGAGAACAATAAAGTCCCTGGCAAAACAATACAAACTGCATTATAATGATACAGCTAGCACCAAGGGGCATGTCTCTAGTTGTCTAATATCACAAGAGGTTTCCTCTAATTACATAATTGCAAAACCTCAATCACAACAAACTAGACTAGAAATGACCACATTTCCAAAAATAACATAATTCAGTTTAGTAACCACCAGGGGGCAGAAAGACTCCAAACCAAGTGACAGAGCGGACAGTGCTGTAGTTTCAGCTCAATAAGTTGTTACCCACTAACACACTTGAAGTCAGACATCTGGCCACCTAGTTAAAGTAAGAGTATCTGTGTCTTTTGCCTGTCAGATGTGTGGTTACTTTCACCTAGGGCTTTAAATGGCCTATGACACCTATGGGACTGTTCAAAGCTGCAGAACCAAAACAATGAGCTGAAAGAGGCTTAAATCTGCACAAAACTGCTACATTGGATGTTAATTCTCAGTGAGTGCAACAGACAAGTTACATGTGGTCTTTTTGTACATTTGCTTATTTCTACAGCTGACCTATGTTAATTTATGCTGTCTGCTCAGTTGATTCACAAACACACTGTGCCCAGAAAGTTTAAAGAATATACAGATTTTGAACAAGGTAGTTTTAGGGCCAGATGATGCATGTACAGTAAGTTCAAGCCAAGCGAGCTTTGAACGTATGCCCTGCAGTGTTGTATTCATGTTGGTTTCTGTCTGTCTGTCTGTCTGTCCGTCTGTGTAGGATGCATTCAGCCTGTTAGCGTACTCAGACCCGTGGAACTGTCCCGTTGGCCAGCAGTTAGATCCCACGCAGAGAGAATCACTGTGCTCCGCTCTCAACAGCGCCATACTGGGTAAAGAAGCACACAGAGACACCTACTGTGTGTTACACTGACATGTAATTCTTCAAACTACATTATCACTTTATACTGGAAACTCCAAAGTAACCCTAACCCCCACAGAAAGTAATGAGATGTTGTGCCTGCCTGTAGTGATAGCCAACATCCCACATTTGAAATCATCTGCTGTCTTAGACATGGATGTGACAGTACAGTTTGCATGATGTTTCTATGTTACACAGACTGTTTTCTGTCACACTGCACAAACAGAACATAACATGACAGTATGAAAACTGTACAGCGTCGAACAGAATAATTCCAATGATCTGCTCTGTCTCTGTTGAATTTATTTTGGTCTGTACAAACAACATGTTTTGAAGTTAGAAAAAAGGCTCTGATATTTCCAACAGTGCAGTGAGCAGACACGAAGCCAAACAGTGAAGAAACAGATATGATTAGTGTGAACTTAAGCATTGCCATAGTCCCTTAAGAATAGCAGCAAAAGGCAGAAATACCACAAATTGTCTCATTTGATAATAAAATAAAACGCACAACATTGATGCATTGTTCCTCTCCTTTATCTTTCTGATTTTTTTTTTTTTTTTTTTTAAATACACCCCCAAAAGGACAGAAAACAAACCCACACACAGAAAAATGACAAACAAGTAATGACAAATAACAACTCATATTAAGTACATTTCTAATGCCTTGTGACTCATGTGTCGTGCCCCTGCCTGGTTGTGTTCTTCTGCTCTAGAGTCCCAAAATCTGCCTAAGCAGCCTCCACTGATGTTAGCACTGGGTCAGGCCACAGAGTGTGTTCAGCTCATGGCCCGAGTCCGGTCTGGTTCCTGCTCTTTCGCCAGAGTAGACAACTTTTTGCACTAGCCCCGGTCCAGGTGAGTGAATTATGGTCTCTAAACTACTTATAGCATGGACATGGACAATATTTGCTTCTGATTAACTGTCAGTTGTTTGTTAGAAATGTATTAATGTAGTATATCGCACATAACGGGCCTCATGCAATAACCACTTGTGCAGATTTTTCATATGTAGCATGTATGATTACGAGTAATTTGTGGCTTTCATGTTTTCCTAGTTAGAAGTGATCCAGACCTGTTGTATGAGTCATGTACAGAGAGTCTGAGAGTTTAATAATGTTACCAAAATCAACTAAAGTGTAATTTTTCCTGATAGGTTCAGCAACTTTGTTTCAACTAACTTTATAAAAGGATATTTTATTCATTAATTGATGTATTTAGGTACAAGACAGTTCATTAGTTGCACTCCGACAGTGACTTTATGCAATTTGCTGTCCAGCATTATCCCCTGTTACGCCTGACAGTGTAACATCTCCTCGTGTTTATTCTCTCATCCATCCTCATGGGTGTGACACTCCTTTAACCACCACCCATCTAAGTCATGGACACTTTTAGCATCTAATTTCATGTCAAACAAGCCCCTTTCTAATTCTGGCACAAGTCAGCTCTCTTTGATGACATCGTGTGAGCTGTACCTTTATTGTTTGTTGCAGGTCCTCTAATTTAACTACTGCTAAATTTGTGTTGTATGTTTTCATCTGATTTCTGACAGCAGGACTCTGCGGTGTGAAAGTTCTTGTGAATGAAACCACAAATTTGCAGAATAGGTGACCTTATGTATCAATTTAAGGGAGGTTATTATGCTAATGATCAAATCTTATGCACACAGCGTTCATTAAGTTGAAACAAGCAGTTTTTACGGTGAATCTAAGATGGAAAAACATAGAGAGGTTTAAGATAAGAAAACAAAAATTTTCTTGCATGAGGCCCAGTGTTGTGTTAGTTAACAGTGATCACAGCTCCAAATCAGCTTAGCCTATTTACAAGTAACCATAGCAATGATATTGATGCTTTACACAATGTTGGTGGTTGGTGGGTTAACTCCTATCATTAAATCATTTAATTTTTAGCTTTTATGTTTTATTTTCTTTTGTAAATGACATGTGACATTTGGCATGTTGGTTGTCCTGTATAGAAGTTAATGGAGTAAGAATGGAATTACTGTAAAGCAGGGGGTGTAACACAACACTCTGTTTGTTATTTTCCTTCAGTGGGACACCTCATTGTAAATTATTGCTTACATTGTGCATACATGCATAAAATGAAAAAAACGTCTGGATGAGATACACACCTAAAAGAAAGAACAATTACTCCCAAACAAAAACAGATTACCAAAACATGAGATCTATGCTGTACAAAAATATAAATGCAAACTGTTTTAAACCTGCTACATTTAATCATTACCTTGCTTAGATGATTACCCATCTCTCCACAGGTTAATGTTAAGTAGCACTGAGAGAAGGCATGTCCAGCAGGTAGTTGTCATGGCGACGGAGGAAAGAGCATGCGTGTGATTGGTGTGTTTGGCTGTCCGTCAGACCAAGTCAGCGGCACAGACAGAGGAGCGGAGGAGAGCAAGAGAGAAGAAAGCTTCCTTTTAATTTAGTATTATCAAATAAAGAAACGTGTGACACTATTTAAAGATAATTAATTATTATTCTGTTTATCTAGCCTTTTTTTTAGTTATTTTTTGTCAGTTTGTTGTGCTCATCCTGGACAAAACAAATTGTAATTCCCCTTTTTATTTTTTCTTCTGTTTTAATGGGTGGATTTTGATTCCCTACAATCAGTATTTTACTCACATTGTTGTTGTTGTTCACCATATCACAGACCACAATACCCACAGCTGGTTGCCACGGTGACCCCCACAACTGTAGGTCAGGCTTAGCAAAACCTGAGGTATATGACATCATTTTTAATAAGATGTAGAGGACAGACTATACAAACTCTGAGCCCTTTATTCCACTTCTGCTTGGAAGTGCATTCATGTCTTGAAATGGGGTGAGCAAACAAGTCGCCAGCATGAAAACACCTCTGACCGTGTGGAGCGGATCATTAGCTCTGGTCAAGGCTGATGCAATACAGTAGTAAACACTAACACTGATAGAAATCGGACTGATGTAAGACAAAAGTGAGTCACCAATTATTCCAGAAAGTTGGAAACAAAAATTTGGTGGCTGTGTTTTGTTGCCAGAACCTTCCTATATTATAGTTATACTGTGAGCTAACAGATTAGTAGCCAAAAAACAGGACCCATCCTGACAAAAATATCACCTTTGTATAAAACATAAATGAAGGGTCTTTGTAGTGGTGAACACTGCCAGTAACCAGGGGAAAAGGGTGATGACAAGGGATTAAATTGGAATATTGGACGTGTCGAAGCCTTAATTTTGCTGTGAATACCACAGCATTGAGCAATCAGTGATGTGGTTGCGGGTGGCAGAGCTCAACCCTAGCTACAGCTACACCACCTGCTCTCAGGTCTGAGCCTAACACTATTACCATGGTCACCTTGAGTCCAGCATTGGGAAAATCAGTATCAAAGGCAGACTAACAAGCATAGTGTGTGTATGGCCAGAAGTCAATCCACTTCAGGTGTCTTTATTTTTTTTTAATATCGTCCACAGTCTGACCTGCTGTGTGCATGTGCTGTCGTAATTAGAATTTCAAATAAAGAGGTGAAGTCATTTGCCACACAGGAAGGTTTTTTAATTTTAGGGTGCACTTTGTGATAATTGCATCACAGTCTTTCTTTCTTTTTGATTTCAATCCACTTAAAGCCAGTCCTGTTTGTAGGGAAAAGGCTTTTTTCCCCCCACACAGACCCCTTCATTTCTCTAACAACCATGAACTTGACTGTGTTCTTCCCGCTATTGGATAGAGGGACATAGTCAAGTCAAATTTATTTAGTGTGTAGCCCAAACTCACAAGATTGTCCCAGAATGTTTTTCACCCTGAATATTAACATGATAATGAGATGGAAAAGAAGGATCTTTTTATTAATCAGGTTCGCTGCTGGCCACTATGAGATTTACAAAGAAGTCATCATCACATTGCTTTTGTACAGGAGCTTGTATTTTAGAGTCACATCAGTAGTAACAAAACTACCAAATACCACATAAAGCTCCAAACAACATAAATTACTCCTCATTGTCAGATGCTAGTGTTCAATATTGAATAACTTAAACATCAAATACATCCATATAAATCAATTGAAATATATAATTGAACCTTTAAGTTGTTAACTAATGTAATACAGTTTTAGAAGGAAAATTCAATTATATTAGTGTCACTCACCCAGGCTCAGAAACCGCTAACTGAAATTTAGTCAGCTAGCTCCTGTTTGCTAGTAGCTAACTTACTAGCTACTTAGCAGAGTCACCCAATGAGTTGCTGCTGCTCATAAGCAATGATTGAACAGCATAAATGCATAAACAAGCATAAACACACTTGTTTATGTTGAAGATGTTGTAGCCAACAGGAGTTAGCTAGCTAGCTAGCTGGAAGTTAGTGGGCCTGAGTTCACTTTTGATAATAATTATTTTCTTTTAAATATTAAATTATTGTATCTCTAGATTATTAATTTAATATTGGATATGTTGGTTTCTCTTTTAGAAGTTGGAATCTATTTTTTTCATTTTATCCATAACTGTGTATTCTTCATCTCAGTGATGAGCAGTTGTTAATTTGGGAGGTCAAAGTCATCATCATCACCTGCTTTCTGTCTCTGTATATCTAAACTGATAATGGTTCATGGCAAAATTACAACTCTGACTCGACTGCCCCCCATTTTTATGTGAATCATTAGTCTAATTGGGTTTTGATTAAAATTGTTCCATCCCTCAGCTTTATCTAAAACATTTTACTTTTGTTTTTACACAGGACCTATTTTCTACCAAATAGCAATGACTGAATGTTGTCTGACTAGTGGCAAACTGTCACTCTGGCTGCGTTGTTGTCACCTGGGAAATGGCTCATGGATCCACCCTGAAGTGTATATTGCCATTTATGAGAGAATTCCCATCTAAGGTAGAGAAATATGGATAAATATAATACCGGAGATGTGTGTATGCAGTGTGGGGTTTACTACAGGGTATGTGGTCAAACTTTATACCAAGCTGTTTTTTTATAAACGCACATTCTGCTATAATAGGAACTATTCTAATAACTACACATACAGTACACACTTGACATCTGCTTCTACAGTTGTAAAGGACTTCTGTTACACATACACACACGCACACACCTGTACGTGAAAGAACAACCTCTGTTGCATACCTGTAGGGAACAAGTCTCCCAGCTGTCCTTTGTGTTTGAGCCTGGGCTGTATCTCAGCGCTGTTACCACGCACCCTTCCTCTACTCCCTGCATAGACATAGCCACTGATGTGATCAGTGATTGTTTTAAGGAAAGGAGGGATGTGAATTGTTGGGAAATGGGCCCCGAGGCCTCTGAAGCCACATGGACTTCTTCTGGAGAGGCCGGGGAAATGGATTTAGGCATCACAGACAAGCTGTGCACAGTTGACTTCTATCATGATTTTAATTTCATATTTTGACTTTTGAGTTTTAGCAAAAAAAATTTAAAAAAAAGAAAGAAAAAAAACAATTGTGAGATGAGTTACCCTCTACTTAGCATGACTTTTAAAACCTTTAAAATGATATATAAAAAAGGAAAAATGATAATTGAAAAAAAAAAAAACCTATGTACTGGAAACATGTTAAAGAAGAAATATTGTATTCTGTTTAATTTTGACAGACTTATTTTTATTAAAATACATCCATAAGCATATCAGTGTTTGATCTGCTTTTATTTTGTGTGTTTGTTATTTAATCATTTTCCTCCCACAGGCAAGGCGGATTAGAGACTGCAAACTGCTAAACGGACAGATAAATGACCTATTAATGCAGCAGGTCACAAAAATGTGGGCAAATTGTGAGCACATAAGCAATGGAAGTCAATTAATTTGAGTGCATAGACTCATCCCAGCCACATGCAGGTTTGAATAAAGTTTGGAGAAAACCTATTGGAACCTTAGGCTCAGTTGGCACCTGAGTCTTTAGGCTGATGAATTGAAACACAAACAACTAACATTTCCCCTTAAAGACACTGAGAGTAAGATAAGTGTTGCTCTTGTTAACTAACACACATTAAGCAGTGTTGCCTGCTTGTATACTATGGCATACCGCTATAGTGATAATTGTGGTATTACCCGTGAGAAGTCCTCCTCACAAAATGTCACGAAAGTGTGGAAACAGTTACCGGATCTCCAGCCACTGGGAGATCTGTCCTAACACGTTTCCTGTTCTCTTAAAAACCAGGAACAAAGGCCATACTAGAGGCCACACTATTCATCAGACCAGGCCACCTTCCTCTATTGCTCCACGGTCCGGTTCTGATGCTCACATGCCCATTGTATGCACTTTCGTGGTGGACAGGGGTCAGCATGGGCAATCTGACCTCTCTGCAGCTATGCAGCCTCATAGTGTGTTCTGGTAGCTTTATGTCACAGCCAGCATTAAAGTTTTCAGCAATTTGTGCTGGTAGCTCATCTGTGGGACTGGACCAGACAGGCTAGCCTTCATTCCTCACCTGTATCAGCAAGCCTTGGGCACGTATGACCCAGTCACCGCTTCACGGTTCATCCCTCCTTAGAACACTTTTGCTAGGTACTAACCAATTCACACCAGGAACAGCCCACAAGACCTGCCGTTTTGGAGATGCTTGGACCCAGACGTCTAGCCATCACAATTTGGCCCTTGTCAAAGTCGCTCAGAACCTTACACTTACAGCCTGTTTACCTGCTGGTTAATATATCCCACCCCTTGACAGGTGTCATTGTAACGAGATAATCATTGTTATTCACTACATCTGCCAGTGGTTTTAACCTTGTGTCTGATTGGTGTATATTGCCTGTCAGACGTGAAGAGCATGTCATAATTGTATGGATCCCCCTCATCTGATGCACAACTATGTGCTGTTTCAACTAATGCTTATGTGACACACAGGCCTCTGTAGTTTACATCATATGTGCTAAATGAGGAAAAGTAAGAATGTGTTATGGCGAGTTTAGCGGAAAAGAAACTTTTTTGAGTGGGCAACAATAATTCTGTAAACTCTGTATTTATGACCTTATATCATCATATCATTATATCATCCTCTGCATCTTGGACAGACAAAATACTGTCAAGTAGCCTATACTTCCAGATCTCTGCATCCTTGCCCACATCTCAGATTTTTTTGGAGTCAAATAAAGTGAAACAAAATGGTCAGAGGTTAATATTGTATTATTTAATGTTTGTCAATTCACCATAAAGTAAACAAATTATGTCTATATCAACCTACATTATTTTTTTAATGAGAAATAAAAGCAATTTTCAAAGTAGCTCAAAGAATAAATCATTTATTTACATCTCAATACATTACACCTGAATATAAAGCAGTCTGTGCTTGTTGCAGGTCTGTTGTTAGAGAGCCATTTGTGTGTGTGTAAGACATTGCTGTATGGAACAATAAGTCAAGTTCATGATAACTGCTGGTACATACAGTCTGCCAGTCATACTGCAATGACAAACAGCAGACATGTTTTATATTTCCGCAAAGGGTGAAGCACTTTAACATAGGCTACTGTACACATTAATTATTAATTAAGTTATTTTTGATTGTATTGTACCCATCTGTGTTACAGTAGTTGTACAGCAGGGGGCATGAGGAGGTTGGATACATTACCCTCACAGCACTGAGAGGCATATATTATATGAAGGATCCTCTTTATTATAGCCTCCCTCTATCATATAAGGTTTTGTAAACAAGATTTTAAACAATAACATAACAGTAAACTATTTTCTAGGTAGATATAGTGGAGTAATGGTGTCCTGAGCAGAGAATGAAGTCACAACCTCTCTATATGTGTTGCAATGTGAGTTTTTCTGTTCTTTGTTCTGGTATATGTGCGTGTGCATGTTAGTGCACGTGAGTCCCTCTCCATTAAACAGTCGGGTGTCCCCACATTTATAAACATGCAGGGACCGCCCACAGGTGAGATGGCACAGTGGCATGCAGCCTTCATGTGTAGGAAGAAGCCATTGAAGAAACCATGTTTTCATCTAAATAGGCCACTGACAAAGAAAGAGATAAGACCAGAGCACCGGCGCTGGTTATGACGCTGGTGGATCGTCAGAACACCCATAAAGTTTAAAGTTTTTTACCGGCTCATTCAGTGTCACTATGCGGCCCATCCTTGCGTTTAAGTCCAAGGCCGAATTTCCCGGTCAGCCTGTGGGGTCAATTCTGCTCTGGCTTTACCGAGATGAAGAACCCAACGAGCTGCTGAAGGGTCCGGCTTGACTCGGAACTGACTTTTCTTCTCCATAGGTAAGTAACTTGATGGCTACATGATGTTACATGTCTGTCTCATTAGTGACTAGCTACAGTTGGCATCACAACTATTTGCTAGCTTGATGTTAGCAATATTATGAATGTGTTCGGCAAATGTTGCTATGGCTAGCTAACGGCTGCCGGTATTGCTGTGGAGCATTTCACGGCAAAGCTAGCGTGGGCTAACGGTTGTGGCTAGATTGTTTTTGTTGGCTCTCCTGTACACAGGGTAACTTTATTCAGTTGTGCTTCTTGTTGTGTGTTTTTTGGCCGCGTTTACTGAACTTCGTGACACCTTGCTGACTGACAACAAGAAGGGAGGGAAGGGGTGGTTGCGGTCGGAGGGAGGCCGGAAGTGCGGCCGACGAAGCATTTGTTTTGGTCTGAGAGGTCTAGTGCGAAATCTAGTGATAGTGACGATCATTTAGAGACTTTCATCTACACATTTTCCCAAGTTGTAATTATATCCCGCAGATAAAACGATACACACACAAAATGTGCTAATAAACATTCTTAATTTTATCTCTTCTCAAACATGAACTAACGTTCATATGCAAAATGACTCTGTATTGAATCGATTTTCTTTTTTTTTATGAATTACCAAAACTACAAATGCCAAAATGATAAAGAAAAAAGAAAAAATATATCCACATGGGATAACACAGTTTTGATATCAATCTTTGGTTGAAGACTATAATTACCATCTTTGGCAAAAGTTGAGTTTTGCTTCTTATAAAGACTAATCTGTCATTTAGTCTAGTCAGCAGGGATCTTGCAGAGATTGAAGGCAAATTAAGAAGTCTTGTGTAGAAAATTTGCAGTGGGTGAGGTTAGAGAAAATCAAGCAATAAGAGTTAATCACACTTCTGATATAACTAGAGAATCACTGCAAACACAGTGAATTTATTTTTTCATCAGTCATGACTCACTTGAGTTTATCTCTGGAAATTCTGTATCTGCATACCTGATTAATTATAGTATTTGGTGGTCTGGCCAGAGCTGTAACGAAGCATCTTTAGAAAAAGATTTTTAAAAAGGGTGGCATGTATCAATAAGAATGCAGAAGTCAGGCCAATAGAACAGTAAAAACAGGAGTGGGAAAACACATGCTGTCGAATGAGCCTGTCCTGCCAAGAATAATGACGACTTCAGTTGTTTTCAGGAAGTTCCCCAAAACAATACTGTATGTTCACGTTCAAGTGGCAAAGCCCTCTTGCAGCTGGAGTAGACCTAGTTAAGATAGGAGCAAAGGAGGAAGTCGGGTGATGTTAATATAGAGCAGCAATGTCCACGTAGGGAGGAGGTTGGGGTTGATGGATGGGTCAACAAAACATCAGGTCATCTGGGACAGGATTACTCCCTGAATACCTGAGATCTGCTGAAACTAGCACCTCATTCAAATCAGGGCTTAAAACATTACTATTTGAAATTAATTACATTTATAACATTTTTAATCTTAAAAACTGCCTCAGCTCACATCATTTTAATCTTTAAGTACTTGTTTTAATGTCTTTTGTCACTGCAGCACTTCCTTTAAAATGCTGTTATAAGTATTGATGTCAGTGGTTGGTTGATTAATTTGGAAGAAAAGACTGTGGTGTGTGTGTTACCCCCCACAGCACCACCAAAGAGGGTGGTTATTTCTGGGGCATCTTCGGTTTGTGCCCAGCGCAGATAAAAACCCACAGTGTGATTGCACCTGTAGAGAAAACGTTCTGGGGTAGCAGAGAGAGTCTGACCCTAGTGTAATCAAAACCTGTGGTGCATTTGTGTACATCGGGAAACGAGATTTCGTAGTGCACACTCAGACGAAACGTTTTTGTCTTAAAAAGAAAGTTTCTTATCTGATTTTATTCAATCTTAATATGTCTTATTTAAAGGTTTATTATTTATTCAATTTTGTTTTTAATTGCAATTTTAATGTCATCCTAAGGTTTAATATTTCATGTATAACACTTTGAATTGCCTTGTGTCTGAATGGTGTTATATAAATAAACTTACCTTGCCAAGACTTTAACAGAGAAGACAGAAAAGCTATTTGTTTCCAGTGTTCAAGTTCCTGTGTTAATTTGGAGGACTTGTTGGAGACATGATGCCAATCTGGTGTCAGTTTATTTACAGCTACAGTACGTTGTCTGTCAAGTATGTGATGTAATTGGCTCAGAGCTCAGAGCTGTTAAGCCATATCAAAATCTTTACTCCGTTTTCTATTCTATTCCAACCACATGTTCATCATAATGAGGGCAGATTAAGCAAGCTGTTGGGAACTGCATAGATCTAAAATATATAATAGGTCCGAAATATATATCCATACAGCTTAAACCATATAGCTGTTTTTTAATTGCACCATAAAAATGGCTCTTTTTAAGAAATGGCAACCCTGTTAAACAGTA